TTTTTTTGCATTCATTGGTGACTAAGACCATGATCTCACTGCAAATGAAAATCCAATTTAACTCTGGGTGTCTTGCCTGAATGTCGGATTGTATCAGTACTAACTCGGTGCAATGACATGTTCTTAGCCCCCTGTGATACCCATTCATCTAATTATATAATCTTTATATTCTTGGTTATTTTGGCAAAGTCACGTAGAAGGGAAACAATAAAATAATAAAAATATAAAACAATACAATTCTCACGACGTTTCGACTGCAACACAAGCAATTATCATCAGGTGTGAAACCCACAGCAAGAAAACCACAGCAAGAACATTTGAAATGTTCTTGCTGTGGTTTTCACACCTGATGATGATTGCTTGTGTAGCAGTCGAAACGTCGTGAGAATTTTATTGTTTTGTATTTTTATTATTTTATTGTTTCCCTTCTACGTGACTTTACCGAAAGAAACAAGAATATGAATCCCTGCAGTCACGAAAGCTTTAAATCAAAATACATATGCTTTATTAACCAAATGATGTTCCCGCTGAGATCACAAAAAGTATATGCCGTACCTATATTATATCGCACATAATAACTGGCACAGTGTAAAGTAATATGGCACGAGTTACATGATGAGAACACCCTTTAGGAGATTGTGCCCAACCTCACAAGAAAAATGAACTTTCATCTCTGGTTATTTTAGATACCATTTTCAAGGCTTAATTCCAACATCAGGAGGTATTTTCCCTCACTGTATAATGTTCCAGTTCTCATAAGGCAATCTGTAGCTCCAACCGGTTCGATCTGAGTGGTCTAATTCAGGAATAGGAAAGGGAGGATCTGGCGAAACTCATCAAACTTTGGCGAGGCACCTACGGCTGTGACCATGATAACCATGATAAGGGCTTGATCTTGAAGGGAAGGAGGAACGGGTTCGAGTAATCGATGTTAGTCACAGAAAAGTGCATTATTGATGTCACATATGCAGGATAGCTTAATTTGATGGGAGTTTGGTCTTTATTGCGGGTCTTGAAAGTTCAATAACCTTCATAGGGAAAGTAGCATTCTTTGATATATGTATAAAATGAAACAGAATGTTTACACTGTTTTATAAATATATAACATTTACGCTCTTTAGACTATTGTAACTCTACATACAATACATGTAGACACAATAGAAGGATAGTTATTGCAAGTACTATAATGATTTTATAATGCAATTGCATCAGCACTTATTTTAGGTGTTGTCTGGCATGCCATATGATATATGTTGTGATACCATTCCAAACATTTTTCCAAATCTAATTTCCGACTGTGCATAGCAATAAAAAATGGGTATTTAAATCTGGCCCGGTTCTCGTTCAGGTTGATTCAGCTTTAAATGAGTCCTGTAGTTGTTTGTAAACATTTGCACTCGGTGAAGATAATGTATGACTGGGGTGGTCTTGGATCTTCACCGTTTCATGGTGCTGTAGCTGGCCTTAGTAGTTACCTTGCGATCAACACTTGCCTCGGTACTCTGTTCTAGCTATAAGGACAAGATATTCTATACACAAGGACACATTTACTAAACAAGATAGTCACGTAGATAGAAAACAAAAATAAAAAGCAAAAAACCCACGACGTTTCGATCGCAACATAAGCGGTCTTCATCAGGTGATCAGGTTTAAATTTTGATTTTTGTTTTCTATCTAAGTGGCTTTACTGAAAGAACCAAGAATATGAATTCCTGCAGTCAAGAAAATTTTAAGTCTAAAAAAGATAGTGTAACTTAATGTGATGATTGGGATTAACACGTAGGCTTTCGCAACCAATATCATCCATAATACAGGTGTTTTTGGGTTAGATCGCGTAAAATATACGTGTGTCGTTAAACCCGCCACCACCCGACACAGCCAATTAGTAAAGTTTGTCACGTAAACAGAACGTGCCAATTCGAATTAGTAAATTTGGTCAATTCGAATTGGCATGTTCTGTTTACGTGACAAACCTTACTAAACAGAGCATGCCAATTAGAATTGGCATGCTCTGTTTACGTGACAAACCTTACTAATTAGCTGTGTCGGGTGCTGGCGAATTTAAAGACATATCTATATATTGATGCGATCTTACCCCCAAAAAAACCTCTATTATGCATGATTATTATTATCCGCATCATCCACGAGTGCTCACTCATCCCTCACGCATGCACGCATGCTCGCTCTCCCACGTGAAAGAAGAACACGTAACTCTCCCGTGCGTGCCCTCTCCTGAAACTTTGCTCACCCTCTCGCACGCTGTCACACCGCTCACTTACCCAGCCTCGTACGCGCGCACACACGCGCGTTCACTCGCCCCCCACACGCACGGTTTTCTTTGGCTCACTCGCTCCCGCACGCATCCCCGCTGCAAGCTTCGATCGATCAAACGATCTTTATCTCAAAATGGGACATTTTTTTTGCGTCCAGTATCAAAGTATGAAAATATATATAAGAATAGGTTTTGCCTTTTCTGGCAATAAAACAGGTGTTAAGATCATTAGACCTCCTTTGCCAGGACCAAAATATAATAATAGGGTTTTTCTCCTTTTTTCTGGCAACAAAACTGAAACCTTTTTACAAGGATTCATATCTGCATTAACCACAATACCTGCAGTCAAAAAACCAAAAACACATACTATGATAATATATGCATTGTCCTTGAAACTGATTGGCGTCCTCTGGTCGAGCACCAATTGGGTCGAGGCTCAAAAGTAAGCCGTCCCTTGGTGTGGACTAATCAGTTTCAAGGACAATGCATATATTATCATAGTATGTGTTTTGTTTGCATTTTGACTGCAGGTATTGTGGTTAATGCAGACATGAATCCTTGTAAAAAGGTTTCAGTTTTGTTGCCAGAAAAAAGGGGAAACCCCCTATTATTAGGTGTTAAGATGTTCAAACACCAATGAGAAACCATTTTTTTTAAATATATTTCACGAGCCAATATCGCCTCTCAATAAAGTCGGCATCGGTGCACGTCACAGCGGAACGGGAACGGTACTGGGGGCATAATAGCCAACAACAGGGATGACAAAAAAGAGACCCGTCATGCCCTCGGCGGCTAACACCGGCTGAGCAAAGTAAAATTGGGGGCGCAAAAATAAAGTGCAACCGGGCGCAACGGATGCCATAAGAAAGGAAAGTGAATGGAAAGTAAACAAGACAGTTTTCATTTAAATGTTTTTATTTTATCGGAAGGCAAGTCTGAATAGATTGTTTGCTCACTCCTCCTGCTTGCTTATTCCCTCTCACGAATGCACACTCGCTCTCCCACGTGCTTACTCGCTCGATCACAAAGACAAAGATCCGCCGTGTAGCCTTAACAGACTGTTGGGGCAAGTGCTGTTAGCGAGCACCTATGAAGGCCGGCACTGTGGCACACGAGGGGGGTGGGTGGCCAGCACCACGCCCGGCCGCCTTTGTCTCCCCAGTGGCGATGATTTTCACACACACCGCACCAGTTACTCGTTTGAGGCTCCAAATACACGCGCGCTCGCTCGAACTCTCGCTTGTCAGATGCGCGCTCACATGCCTTACACTCGTCTTCATTCTCACTCTGATCTCGTAAACACGCGCTCACCATGCGCTGTCACATGCGCCCTCACACTCGTCAACACGCACGATTGCACCATTCCCGAAGGCACGCGTGCACCTTCACGTGCTCCACGATGATGACAGTAGATGACAAACATCATAAAAATGATGATGGTAATGACAATCGATGGCGATGAATAATAATAATGGTGATGATGGTGGTGGTAAATGGTACCGCAGTATAACAGTGACAATTAAGAATAATATAATGCGCGTGGATGAAGGTGACAGAGATTAACATGATTATGATGGAGATGTAAATGGAAATATGCAACAGGATTAGCAAGCATTCATAACAAGAAGGCATATTCTTTGGGTAATAATAATTTGAACCTATCTACGTGACTTTACCGAAAGACCCAAATAATATGAATTCCTGCAATCACGAAAGCTTTAAGTCAAGATTTAACAAGAAGGCATTTTATATAATATTGGCACATTTCTATTAATATTTACATTTATTTACACGCAAAAATTATGATGAGTTACTTCATTTTACAAATAATGTTATACGAATGCCCCTCGTCCACAATGTGTCTCACCACAAGCACTCCACTCTACAAAAATTACATATAATCATCGTTTAACAATAATATTTTGAATGCACTGCATTGTATGTCAATATTAAAGTGGTGTAAACCTACCTGAATTGAGCTGTGACATAGCACTGAGTGCTCAATTACAGGGTGACAAATTCATAGCTTGGTAGCGAGTCAGCTTCACCCTATCCCCTTGACTCAATAAATGAGTCACAATTACTGTGGTTGTCCTAGTTGCTGTTAAAAAGAACACGAATTAGTACCACTGCCCAAATCTCGTTTGACAAAAGTTGTACATATGGACGCTTGCGAAAAAAAAAGAACAGTAACTTTGAAGCGATCGTCAGTACATTCCGAAAAAAGGTTGTAATGTTCTGGTTAAAAAAATCAGTCGCCACACTGTGTCAACAAGTCTTGGTCTTTGTTTGTTGCGGTTGCACCCGATTCAAGAGCCGAATGGCTCACGGGGCTATACCAAAATAAATAAACTGAGGAAAAACTGAGAAACTGGTCGTGGCCGGTCAGTGAGTGGCCACGTGGTGGCAATGCCCCATCCACGTGTTGTGCCGGCGCCACCCTCTTACCTGCAGGCCTCTCGGAGCGGACGCACCGGTGCCGTGGCCACAGTGGTGGCAGCGGCGGATCAGCACTGCGGGCGGCCTCTCCCGCAGGCCCAGCCGCACGGCCCCCTCCATGTCTTGTCCCCCTCGTCAGCCGTGGCTCAGGGGCCCAACTGGGGCAGGTCTCCCCTGTCCTCCACGGCCCCCAGCCCACTGCTCGTGGTCCGGCCAGCCGTCATACGCTCTGTTTCCTGCCCCATATCCCACGCCCGCTCTCCTGCTCAGGTCCCCCACGTGGTGGTGTCTTGCATTCTGTTTGTTTCATTTACCATACCCATGACACTCGTACAAATATTGTGACAAACTTACATACGAATCACCGGCATGTTTAAGACAGCTCTTTTGAGAAAATGTTAAGAGCGTCACTCGGGATAGGAGTACTATGTTTAACAGAATTAGGTGGCAAGGCCACTCAAGGCTGTCTTTTGAGCTGCATAATTGTAGGCCCATGGCCAGCTGAGATAGAGCAGGTAGGCATTGCACTTCAGCAGAGAGGTACCACTGGTGTGTGACAGGGTGGGATGTGATCCTGGCAGCGTGCAGATGTTTCTTCTGCAGCCATGTATCAGAGTCGGGAGAGGTGGCAGGCGTTATGGGCACAGAGTAACCCTCATTTGAGAACTTCAATGAGAACAAGAGCTCAGGATCAATGGTGTTGCAGGGCTTTTTGGAAATCATGTTGAGTTTACGCGATGTGCTTTCAGTGGACAGGAAGGAGGCCCAGTTGGAACGATGACAGTAATATTAAAACGCAAGGCCACATTAGTTTTCAGTGTATTACACAAGTAAGTTCCATTGGATGTAAAAATTACTATGGGCCCATAGTTTAATCTTGATAGTTTAGTTAATGCTCTCTATTAATCGGGTTATCATCATAGTTCTTGGTCCAGTAGTCAACAGGCTTATACACTTAATTAATGTGATGATAGTTCAGAATATAAGTGGGCAAAATAAAATAAAATCCTAGAGGCCAGCAGTCAACAGTGGTTGTTCTATGGATAACTTGACACCCACCCTAGGGATCTGGGATCCCCACAACTAACCCAGAGCCACCAGAGCAATGATCACCACAGTCGTGCTCATTTGTGCCGCAGAGATACTTTGACTTCATCGCAGTTATTATTTGGCTTATGTAAATTTTTCACAAAAGGTTGCCATTACCATATATATGTTCCTTACTATCCAAGTATATCTCACTTTAAATAGACCCATTCCCACATTCACCTTTCTACTGCAAACGCCTAACGAGGAATTCAGAGGCCCCGTAGCATTGGCACGCTAAAGCCATGTGAGTGAGGGCCACTTAGCAATCAAAGGCATAAGTATAGCTCACTGTTTGTGCAGCTCACTTTGAGTGGTCTCCACAGCATAGCACTAGGACAAGTGCAAAGTTTCCATACATAGGGGGTACCACTTACAAATATCGCCACTCTGTTGCAGCAGCACCACACTGCAAGTACACCTGCACGCTTTTAATGCAATTAAATTGCAGCCTTCGTTCATTACCGCCGTGACAAATAACCCTCTCTTTGCTTGGGCGGTATACATCGTAGATTCACAGGAGTACAGCACTGCCCTTCCAGATGGATGGGGCACTTACAGGCAAAAGCGCCCACCTTTTCACAGTGTCAAAGATCATTGTGCCTAAGCAGGCAGTACGAAAGGTAAGCTCGTTGTTTATACACGACAGTACATCAGACTTTGAGATTATCCAAGTTGGCAGCGTGCATGACACACACAATTTTTAGGCCTCTGTGTTTTCTCCAGTCAATTCTTGGCTGAGGTTATTCGCAATCTGCCTTGGACTTGACATTATTAAGCGACGGGCCAACACAGATGCTTCCCACACCATGGTCGTGGGCTGCTTGCTGCTATTTGAGAGTAGGTTGGAGGCTAGGATAATCACTAGAGAAAACTCTAAGAGTGTGCTGATGTATTCTTGAGCAAAGAAAATAATGCGATGCATCGCTGTGGAAAGTCTGAACTCAAGCATAACTGATGAGTTTGAACTACGGATTTGTGTTGTTAAGGCCAGTCCAACCCAGGAGAATTTCCTATCAAATGAATACAATTTTTAGTCTAAGGCTACCAATAATTTTAAACATCTTCATAATGTACGAAAGATCATTGTATTAATTATTTAACTCCTGATTTCGCGTGACAATGGTTACAGTACAAAATATAAAAACTACTTCTCAAAACGTTTGGCAATGAGGACATTAGTGTTGAGTAAGTCTACCGCTGGTGCATGAGTACTATTTGATGGTTTTATTATTAGTGTGAGCGTTGGTTCTCCAAGAGTGATGTGTAGAATATTTTTGGAACAACATTTATCAGGAAAAAAGCTACATCTCTTGTTCAGTGGCACTTCCTGATTTTATTTTTCCACTGGAATTGTGCCTCGCATAAAACTCATCACTCGGGAAAAAAAATCTAATTTAGTCTGAAGTTTTTTGTTTACTACATTTGGAAGGGAGGAATTAAGAATTGTATTTATTAAGCAGTTTTGTTACGAACAAAAATATAAAATGAACGACGTCCATTTTCGTTTAGATAATGGTATTAGTTGTGTTTAAGGTTATGTGAAAACACGACAGGGCTACCGTCTACCATAAATAAAAAAATATATAAATACTAATAAAGATAAGTGTATTAAACCCCAATAGGAGGCCCACGTTGCCAACTGAAATAGAATGGAAATATATGAGCAAATTGGGCAAATCAAAAGTGAAAGCATATCAAGAGAAAAAAATTGATTTGAAATACCATATATATTGCACTGAAATAGTTTAATATTAAGGTATACAGTAACTGTAAAAAAAATTGCAAAATGGGACAGAACATTTATGTAATTCTAAGTATTCAATTTTAACTAATTACAATGACATAGTTACTTGCATCCGAAGCTCCGAAAATATTCACTGTCAAGATTATTAAGATTGTTAAGATTATTAAGTTGTCAAATTTTCTTGCTGTGGTTTTCACACCTGATGATGATTGCTTGTGTTGCAGTCGAAACGTCGTGAGAATTATATTGTTTTATATTTTTATTATTTTATTGTTTCCCTTCTAAGTGACTTTACCGAAAGAACCAAGAATATGGCCAATGCTGCTCGTATCCCGGCACCTCAGCATTGCTAAATTCTTCTATATTCCTCAGCTGTTGCAGTCGACTTCTGACCTCCAAGGGCTGCTCTTACAGTATCCCAGTATCAGGCTTGAGGTCTTCTCCTTGGTTGTTGAACTATTTCGGCACCGACTACTCTTAAGAGCTGCCTTACTAATCCGGCACTTTTCATTTTGCAAAAAAAAAACCTCCACCGATTTAGGCCCCCTACTCCTGAATACATGTGCAATGCTTCGTATGTAAATATATTCACGTTATAGATTCAATTGTTGCCACATTGCTCAATTACGTTAACACTTACATGACACATATTCTGAATACTAGAAATTCCCGTGGAGCAGGCAAAGGTGTGTTAGAGCAAGACATATTATTATTTTCTGCCTGACAGTCACCTGGATTTTAAGCCATGACGTGTACCGCATGTCCCAGCATGCGTGTGGAAATTCAGTGCAGCGTTATATAATAATGTAATAATTATATATTTTCGTTATTTTATATATATGTTTATATTAATTGTAAACTTTAATTGTATTGGACATGGTATAAAGAGGCATTCCTGATCACATTTCAATGCAAAGTATAAGTGTGTGTGCAATATGCCTGGTAAACCATCTCTACAATATTAACAATAGAACAGTTCTGCATTTTACGAAATTACAGAATAAATATGTGCCGTATGTGAAAGCATTGTCCCAGTAATAACCCCATCATTATTATACTTTCTCCATGCATTGAATGGAAAATAAGACACTGCCAGGAGTAAGATGGTTCACAGAGAACTGCAGCACTTGGCAAAAACCAATTGACGATATCGCCGCATTCCAAACACTCATTCCGCTCAGCTGCTCTACGGGCGTTTAAAGAGACGCAGGCCGCCCAGAGAGAGAGAGACAGTCAGCTAAATAAGGGGTAACCCTGTAAGCCATTTTCTAGAAATAGGCAAGCATGCTTAGAGCAGGAATGTGACTGTTGAGTGCGGTGTGGAGAGCCTTGGCTAATACATCCACGTGAGGTGGGTTGCTGTGGGCATGGACGGGAGGCAGTCCACAGGAAATCGCTTAGCTGGCTTACGTTACTTCACAGCAGGCGTAGGGAAAATGATCCTCGGTGGATCGCCCCGTGGCTGCATTGTGTCAAGAGATAAAGCTCGCGGGTGTGCCAAGTATGTGGGCTTATGCTCTCTCGTCTTCTTGTTGATCCCATAAACATCGTACTTTTGAATTGCTGGTGGAGGACAGCTTCTCTTGTCGAGGACAGCTTTTTTTATTTTGATCAAAGTCTGTTTTTTAGGATAATTAGATAATTAAATGTGTCATTGTTTTGGGGCGTTATTATGAACAACCGTACGTATCCTTTCTGTTGTGTTCTATATTCAGCATGTGCTACAGAAAATACTTAGAAAATTCATTATTTATTCAGAATGTTTAATGCGGTATTGGTAGTTTTTAAGATGCATATGTGAAAAGATTGCGTTAATATGACGTGGCCTTGTATAGGAAGTGTAATAGAATTGGAAAAATATCAATCTCTACCATCTGGCAAACAAAAAACATTTAAGGGCCTGGCTCTAATAATGAGAAAACAGTCAATTGTTTTACTTCTTAAACAATTACTGCTGGAAGATATTGGTCCAGAAGGCTCTTTGGCTGTGAAGTGAAATGTTATTTTGGTTTAACACGTAGGCGTTCGTGACCAATATCATCCATAATACAGGCTGATGAAGCTAGTTGTAATTATTAGCGAAACATTGTAGTCAGATGGTGCAATTTGTGGCTTTGCTTTCCAACACACCGGGGTGCTGTACTCGTAACGAATTGGCATGTTCTGTTTACGTGATAAATCTTACTAATTGGCTGTGCCGGGTGGTGGCGGGTTTAACAACACATTTATATATTTACGAAATCTAACCCAAAAAAGCCCGTATTGTTATTTTGTTGTATTTTTACGTGGAGAAATGCACTTTATTGTTTTACTCATAATTGCCCATGGCAGTGGATATTTAATATTTTTGGACAAATGTCCTATTCTCCGCTGAGCAGGCCCCACAGCAAGTGACAGTGCACTTTTGCTTGTAACATCTTCTAACTGGGCAGGATTCCTTGAAGAGACTTGCTGATGAGATGGAGTCAAGTCTGTAATATCGGACCAGGGATTGCCTACTTAAAACAAATGCTGCTGGAAAATATTTGTCCAGATTATCTATATGTTAATGGACTTGGTTATTTTTTTTATATGGAGAAATTGGCGAATGTCTATTTATTATTATGCTGAGGTTTAACATAGCCGATTAATCATTATGGGCCAGATTGGTCATGCTCTGGAGAAAGTGTCCCCTGGTAAGGGACTGGTATACCACGAGCTCATACAGTATTTTTTTTACCATTTAATCCAAAATGTTTTTTGATGTAGACACTTAATTTTATTAAGTGTGCACACTTATTTCGTTGCAGTTTTCCCATATACTTACATGTGCCGTGTTTTTCTGTTTTTGTAATCGTTATTCACATGGTTATGTTTTGTTCGTTCTGAACAGAATCTTGAGCGGTGAAACCCTATGCATAAATGTGCGAAACAAGTTTCAAGGAGTTTTCCTATATACCTTTACATATTCCATTAATTACTCGTAAATACATCACGGAGAGGTGTTTGTTACCTCGTTCCATACATTGTCATATCTTTCACCTGCCTTATGATTATCTTAAGAATATTGAGCATAAGTGTTGATGAAGTGCGATGCATATGGTGAGATAACATTTTCCATAAATTAAGGTGTCCGAAAAGTGATTCCAATCATTATACTGCACGGTAATTCCTCGTTGAACGCGACAGACGCGTTCCTGAAAATGCCGCATTAAGCCAAAACAGCGTTAAGCGAGGAATTACTCGTACTTTGAAAAATATGGTACAAACAGCATTATCGGTTATTTCAACAATGTAACTTGACCTGCGATTAAAGTGGCTTACTTATTAAGCCAGTGTCGTCCCCCCCCCCCCCCTGTGCATGTTTGCGTTTAAGTCAACTCTGCTTTGCACGAGATTGGCCACGTGTATCCGACTTGACGCAGCGCCTCTCACTAAACACGCTTCTCCACCACCAGGGATGGGCGACTAAACGGTTTCTAAAATCAATACATCCTTTTACAAGTTCGGCTGGAAAAAAAATGTATTGGCCGGTAACTTGATCGAACAATTGCGTGAATCACGTGGCCGTCGCCTCCAGAAAGTTCCACGCGCTTTAACCGGAGAGTTTGGCAGGTTGTGCTGGATGATCTCCTTACAAATGGTGTTCTCTTTGCTCACGTCATTTCATAATCCCTGTTACTCTATAGGGTGAATCTTTAAAAAAAAGAAAACATGCATCTATAGCACACATCCATGCAAATATTAATGTTTTGCCGATGGTGGTGTCTTCTTTGAGGGCCATAGTCCACGGTATGGACAACGTTACTTTCGGCCACGAACACGGAGCAAGATGACGTGTGAAGATGAGGATCTTTCACCGTTGTGCATTCGCAGCGCGTTTGTCAATCCACTGTAGCACGGGGGCCTCCTAATGCCTTGCAGGTAGCACGGGCGATTTGACCATACTTCACCACGCTGGTCCATGCGGGTTGGTGAAGGTGGGGAGGACGGAACAGCAATGATTTTTTTTGCACTGCCCCCTACTGCTTACAGCACCGACACTGCATTTGTTTTGGACTTGGTGGTCACATTCCGGGTGATTTGGCCAAGGGGCGAGAGGTTTAATACACGACAGACGAGCGAGCATAAGCGCGAATATGACAGCGTAGGACACGGCAGGCATGTTGTGCAGACAAGGGGTGGGGGGTTGTTCATGAATAAATCAATCTCTGGCTACGTGGAAAGTTCCACAACTCCAATTCCATCCTGTCCGTTGAGCACACTGTGGCTCTACGCGGCCCCGTGGGTTGGGGGACCAAACACCAACCCTGAGTTGGGGGTGGGTACAACTGGAATATTGCCGCAGTGTCATGAGATCACGGAACAAAATCCACCCACGGATGGCACTGGACCACATTACATAGCAGAGTAGGGCTCATTAACATTACATAGTAGAGTAGGGCTCATTCAATGACATAGCAGAGTAGGGGTCATTCACATTACATAGCAGAGTAGGGCTCATTAACATTACATAGCAGAGTAGGGGCTCATTCACATTACACAGCAGAGTAGGGCTCATTCACATTACATAGCAGAGTAGGGCTCATTCACATTACATAGCAGAGTAGGGCTCATTCACATTACATAGCAGAGTAGGGGCTCATTCACATTACACAGCAGAGTAGGGCTCATTCACATTACATAGCAGAGTAGGGCTCATTCACATTACATAGCAGAGTAGGGCTCATTCACATTACATAGCAGAGTAGGGGCTCATTCACATTACACAGCAGAGTAGGGCTCATTCACATTACATAACAGCGTAGGGGCTCATTCACATTACATAGCAGAGCAGGGCTCAAATCACATTACATAGCAGAATCGGGGCTCATTCACATTACATAACAGAGTTGGGGCTCATTCACATTACATAGCAGCGTAGGGCTCATTCACTTTACACAGCAGAGTAGGGGCTCATTCACATTACATAGCAGAGTAGGGCTCATTCACATTACATAGCAGAGTAGGGCTCATTCACATTACATAACAGAGTTGGGGCTCATTCACATTACATAACAGAGTAGGGCTCATTCACATTACACAGCAGAGTAGGGCTCATTCACATTACATAGCAAAGTAGAGGCTCATTCAATTACATAGCAGAGTAGGGCTCATTCACATTACATAGTAGAGTAGGGGCTCATTCACATTACATAGCAGAGTAGGGGCTCATTAACATTATATAGCAGAGTAGGGGCTCATTCACATTACATAGCAGAGTAGGGACTCGTTCACATTACATAACAGAGTTGGGTTCATTCACATTACATAGCAGCGTAGGGGCTCATTCACATTACATAGCAGAGTAGGGCTCATTCACATTACATAGCAGAGTAGGGCTCATTCACATTACATAGCAGAGTAGGGGCTCATTCACATTACAGAGCAGAGTAGGGGCTCATTCACATTACATAGCAGAGTAGGGGCTCATTCGCATTACACAGCAGAGTAGGGGCTCATTCACATTACATAGCAGAGTAGGGCTCATTCACATTACATAGCAGAGTAGGGCTCATTGACGTTACATAACAGAGTAGGGCTCATTCACATTACATAGCAGAGTAGGGCTCATTCACATTACATAACAGAGTAGGGCTCATTCACATTACATAACAGAGTATGGCTCATTCACATTACATAGCAGAGTAGGGGCTCATTCACATTACATAGCAGAGCAGGGCTCAATTCACATTACATAGCAGAGTAGGGGCTCATTCACATTACATAACAGAGTTGGGGCTCATTCACATTACATAGCAGAGTAGGGCTCATTCACTTTACATAGCAGAGTAGGGGCTCATTCACATTACATAACAGAGTAGGACTCATTCACATTGCATAACAGAGTAGGGCTCATTCACATTACATAACAGAGTTGGGGCTCATTCACATTACATAACAGAGTAGGGCTCATTCACATTACATAGCAGAGTAGGGGCTCATTCACATCACATAGCAGAGCAGGGCTCAATTCACATTACATAGCAGAATCGGGGCTCATTCACATTACGTAACAGAGTTGGGGCTCATTCACATTACATAGCAGCGTAGGGCTCATTCACTTTACACAGCAGAGTAGGGGCTCATTCACATTACATAGCAGAGTAGGGCTCATTCACATTATATAGCAGAGTAGGGCTCATTCACATTACATAACAGAGTTGGGGCTCATTCACATTACATAACAGAGTAGGGCTCATTCACATTACATAGCAGAGTAGGGCTCATTCACATTACATAGCAGAGTAGGGCTCATTCACATTACATAGCAGAATCGGGGCTCATTCACATTACATAGCAGAATCGGGGCTCATTCACATTACATAACAGAGTAGGGCTCATTCACATTACATAGCAGAGTAGGGCTCATTCACATTACATAACAGAGTAGGGCTCAATCACATTAAATAGTAGAGTAGGGGCTCATTCACATTACATAACAGAGTAGGGCTCATTCACATTGCATAGCAGAGTCGGGGCTCATTCACATTACATAACAGAGTAGGGGCTCATTCACATTACACAGCAGCGTAGGGCTCATTCACATTACATAACAGAGTAGTGCTCATTCACATTACATAACAGAGTAGGGCTCATTCACATTACATAGCAGAGTAGGGCTCATTCACATTATATAACAGAGTAGGGCTCATTCACATTGCATAGCAGAGTCGGGGCTCATTCACATTACATAACAGAGTAGGGGCTCATTCACATTACACAGCAGAGTAGGGCTCATTCACATTACATAACAGAGTAGTGCTCATTCACATTACATAACAGAGTAGGGCTCATTCACATTACATAGCAGAGTAGGGCTCATTCACATTACATAGCAGAGTAGGGCTCATTCACATTACATAACAGAGTCGGGGCTCATTCAGTTCCGTGACCCTGCTCTCGTTGTATCGTAGTCGTGCCCTTCTGGGCCATTCCACCATGAGCCCGCCATCGAATAGCACGGTTGGCTACGTACGGTGTGAAAGAAGTTCAACATACAGTAACATACATAAGTGGCAAGGTGGAGTTGTAAACGACGGACCAGTTTCTGCCAAGATGGGGTAATCAGTGACTCCATCTAAATGACATCTCTATAATCCACAGCTTAAATTAACCCTTAACTCCAGTCATGGATTATCGTCATTTTAAATAATGGTTCAATGTCAACCCGCGCATTGGCTCTGCCTCACTCAGCGGGCAGCTCAAATGCTGTGAATTAAAATCCGAGGCGCGAGTTGACTCACGCTATCGTCCCCCCGGGGTAAATATAATGAGCAACACTCGATAGGAAGTCAACGATGGCCCTATATAGAGACTGGAAACGTGAAATTTTACACCTTTGCCTGAGGGGTGCCAATTTAGATAAGTGGCACCTATTTCCCATTTGAGCAAGGGGAAAGCGTTGACTTTTTACCTAACAAGATCCAATGTACTGTTTACTCACCTGGAATAACAAGCCATTGCCTTTTTTTAAAACTCTAAAGTTTTTTTTTTACTACCATTTAACAAAATCTCATCCTCATACTTAGCATGATTTCATTCACCATCACCATTGCCCGTACGCCTGCGTCAGCTTGGGGCACGCTTGACGGTTGGTGTCAGAGAGCTGCTCACCCCACCCCACCCCAACTCTCGGTGCCTTCCTCCCAGAGCTCTCCATTCTCCACTGAGGGAGGCGCTATTGCCTCCCTGGAAAAGGATCTCGCAGAGTGCTCGGGAGAGCCCATCACACGTCCAGTGCGGGCCCCCGGGCCAAAGTACGATCAAGCTCAAGGAGAGGATGGCAAGGGAAATGTAGACGTCGCCGGTCAGCCTGGGCTACGGAGATCGTACAGCGTTCCCGCTTCCGCACCGCAGCAGCAGCAGCAGCGTCAGCCTCAGCATAGGATGATGATGATGACAGCTGAACGTGGCTCTGACGTGAAAGGCCAGAGAGTGGAAGAGGTCTGACATCTTCCATGGCCTTCTTGGTTGTTTGTCACCACGGATGAGAATATTTCAATCCAGAGAGTTTAAATTGGATGCCGAGTGTTGTAGATATTCTGAGAAGCCTGTTTTTTTTATTTTTAGACACCAGAAACACGACTTCCTGCTTGTTTTTAGGCTGGCGCCTTGTCGCAGGATATGGCTCCTGTTTTTCTACCGCTGAGTGAAATATAAATGTGCTCATATTCCCACTTGTTAGGGTGATATTCTGGAGATCCAAAGTTTGTTTCGTTGGACAAAAAAATGCGAGGGAATACATGCAAGAGTGCAGACACATTTTTTTTCATGTGGCTTAACAAACGTAGATTTAAATTTTGATTTAAAGCTTTCGTGACTGCAGTAATTCATATTCTTAGTTTTTTCGGTAAAGTCACGTTGAAGAGAAACAACAAAATAACAAAATATATATAAAACAATAAAAAATTCTCACGACGTTTCGACCATAACTCAAACGGTCATCATCAGGTGATGACCGTTTTTACTACCATAACGGTCATCATCAGGTGATGACCGTTTGAGTTATGGTCGAAACGTCGTGAGAATTTTTTTATTGTTTTATATATATTTTGTTATTTTGTTGTTTCTCTTCAACGTGACTTTACCGAAAAAACTAAGAATATAAACGTAGATTTGGCTAGCATCCAATCAAATATTATTGTAAATTATCACAAGCCACGAGACTGCTATTGGTAGAACACCTTTGAAGGCATTCACATTTGCAACTGCAGCACATCAACCATTTTCTCTTACTCCAAAGCACCATGTCCGTTCAATTCACTTAAAACAATGTGCCAAGTAGCACGCTTCACGTCAGCCACGTAGAAACACTCCGCTTAAGGATACTTAAAGATCAAACGGAATCCTTAACGCTGCAAGGGTCAAGCTGAAGCACACTAACAGGATGGAGAACAACCACAGCATTCATGTACCTGTCAGCAATGGTGCGTGTGGATTTGAGCTAACTCAACCAAACAGACTTTATTAAAGTTCATTACTTGTGATTTTCTCCTAATTATAATGATCACATCAGCCTCGATAACTCAGTGGTGAAATTGTTAGTTGCTTATCTTCGATTAGAAATCACAGTTGAAGATTAGTAATTGGTTATTTAACAATCCCCTGAATTAAGTTCCATTGTAGTTTGGCCACATGTTGTTGTTTTTTGTTGTGGCATCCTATCATTGACGTTAGTATGGTGCTTTGGTATTGTAAAGGTGAACACTGCGAATTAATGTATGGTTATAGAAGGGTTATTTGCTTTATAAAGAGCATTTTTGGTGAACAAGTTGCGTCTATAGTTAGAGAAGACTCATGTGGTATTAATAGTTTCAACTATTAAAAACCAAACGTGCTTTACAATAAAATGCGGTGACAATCATGCTCAGAAGTTGGGTTTTAATGGGTTAAAATTCTGAACCCCCTTCCTATTTATGATTATTAACATTGGCCTGCATGACTGCTGCAGACCAAATTGTTGGTTTTGTTGGCTCAGAAAATGAGTTTATTTTCTCAAGGGTATTCTCTGGTGCCTATAAACCCACTCACAATACGAGCCATATTTTTTTTTTATTAAATACAACTGATGTTATCCAAATAGGTGGCTCTATCGCTGGTGTACAAATAAACATGATAATTGTGACTTCAAAACCAGTTTTGGTGGGAAACATTACCACTTTTTGGGAACTCAACAACAAATGTCCTCTGGAGAGACTGGCCCCTGCCATAGGAATGCTGAATGGCTACCATTGCCTCAGAACCACAAACAAGCGCTAAACACTACCCCATGCCTTTGTGAACGGAAAGATATTTTAAATTTGTTTCCAGCTGATCTTGCAAACTCACGGTCTGAATGCCACTTTTAGAAAACGTATATGAATGATACAACGTATGTTTATAGTGGTATTCAAAATTAATAACATATTTTATTATTTTATGTTCATCTGGTAGATGCCTGTTATTGAACCAACAGCAGACTACCCTACGGAGATGGCCATGACGCCCCCGGTCTTCACAGCGGTACGTTATGGCGAAGGGAGGATGCGCGCCTTGTTTTGTGTGATTTGAACTTGGAACTGTCTACAACACCATTTTTACGCCGCGTAATTCATGGTAGAAATTTCGCCTCGAGTTTTTTTTGCATTTATCCCCCGCCCCAAAAAAAAAAACTTTCGAAGGCATCAAATCGAAACAGTTTGTAATGTAGGTAAAGAAATCCTTCAATTGTTGTGAAAGACATTGCGCTGAAGTGTCCTGCTCTTGTTTTCATTAAGATCGTTTACATCACGATTAGCTACCACACTGCATGCATTTTACCTGTCGTATTACATGTAGCACATTATGATGGCGAATAGAAAATGTTATAACTAATTTTGTAAAGTCCTTGCAGTGTCTATTTAAAATTGATATCTGTGTCTTGGGGGGGAGTGGGGGGGGGTGTGAAGGGGCAGCACAGTGGTCAGTGCAATGTTCTACGAGCCCAGCAACCGGAGTTCGACTCCTGGCCACGGCTAACAACATCAGTGGCGAGTGATATCTGAAATGTTCCTGTCCCCCGCCCCTCACTTCACCAACTTGCACCGACCAGCGTGGTGAAGCGAAGCGCGGTCAAGCGGGGGAAGGTCTCACAGTTTGGCCGTGTACTTTGCCGGGTTCAGTGCACGTGCCGGAGCTCTCTTCCCCCCCCTCCAACTCCGCGGCCGCGCAGGATCTGCAGGACGTGGCGGTCATGGAGGGGGAACCGGTGCGCATGCAGTGCCACGTGACGGGGACTCCGCCGCCCGTCCTACAGTGGTTCCGCGAGGAGTTCCTCATTCACAGCTCCGCCGACTTCCGCGCGACGTACGAGGGCGACGTGGCCACGCTCGCCATCAGCGAGGCGTTCCCCGAGGACAGCGGTCGCTTCACTTGCCGGGCCTGCAACCCCGCCGGGGTCAACACCACCTCCTGCTTCCTCACCGTGCACAGTGAGCGGCTGCACCGGGGGGCGGTCGTGGCCCGTCCGCGCGAGCCCTCTCGCGTCGGGGACAAGGGAAGAAATGAAATAAATTCCAGCGGCGTTTGTTTTGACGACGAGCAGGAGCAAACTGTGTCGTATTTACACGCACCTTCGATTAGCACGGTTGGCTATGTACCCTGCGAAAGAAGTTCAACACACATACAAAAAGATGAGTAGGGAATTTAAACACTGAATAATGGTAGTGTTATGGTTACGGTGCTTGGCTCGCATTTGTAAGATTGCAAGTTCAAACTGTGGTTGCGGGGTTCAACATGAATGTGCATCCCTCCGGGAGCCATAAAACGATTGCCACTTAATTCTAGATTTGAAGCTTTCGTGACTGCAAGGATCCATACTCTTTGGTTCTATTCGGTAAAGTCACCTAGTTAAAAAATAAAATAACAAAAATCACGACGTTTCGGCCACAACACAAGTGGCCTTCATCAGGTGAAGGGACCGTGCTGTCATGAGGACAGCGTTGGAGTGAAAACAGGACGCGACCTGGGCTTGGCTGTTTTCACTCCAACGCTGTCCTCATGACAGCACGGTCCCTTCACCTGATGAAGGCCACTTGTGTTGTGGCCGAAACGTCGTGATTTTTGTTATTTTATTTTTTACCTACGTGACTTTACCGAATGGAATCAAAGAGTATGATTGCCACTTAGTAGGAGGTCAATAATGATTGCCCTATAGAGGGAGAGGATGGAATAGTGGTGCAGCGGTTAGCTTGCCGCACTGTCAACTCGGCCAGCGAAGTTCAAGAGACATGCCAAAAACTAAAATAACTATCACCTGAGAATGGAAAATATTGCACGAACATAAATCAATGTTGAATCTAAATTAAATATTAAAATTCCCTGTGGCGCCAATTTGCTCGGGAAAACTAATTTTACATTGATCGCAATGATCGTACACACGTGATTATTTTTGCATGACCCATCAGCCCCGCCTTACCAGACTACAGGCATGAGCCGCCCAAACTCGTCCCCAAGCGGCCTCCCGGCTGGCCTGTAACAGGCTCTCACCTTGCTGTTTGCCTGCTTTCTTTGCTCTGGCCCACAGTCTCTGAAGATGACGAGGGCTCAAAGCATCACGTGGACAACTTCACCGAGACTGTGCTCACCCAGGCCAGCATGCAGTGCGTAGCGCACTTCCGTGACACCGTATTCTGCGTAAACATTGTTTTGACGGTTTTTTGTAAAAACAAAACAAAAAACTTTTTAACATTTGGGGCGATTGCCCAGAGCTGAATGAGCGATGGAAATACAAAAACCCCATCACATTTGTTGCGAATGCTGCCTTGCTGTGGATACACATATATATTAAACAGGCTGTTGTTTCCAGATATCACCATTGTTTCAGACCAAGAGGGCAGAAATATTGACTGACTTTATCGTTGCCCCCCTGAGAAAAGTGGGACATTTAAAGACAGTTGATAAAGAAATAGGTTTAAATTAACAATCCAACCATTTCCCCCACGTGAATAAACACTTGACAGCGAACAAAGCCATAAACACACACACACAGACATTAAACATAACTGAGTTTAACATGTAATTACTGGCAAAACGTCGTACTCAGGTGGTAAATATTGTGGCTTGACTCTCCATCACACAGGTGTGCTGTACTAGCAACCTGGCATGTTCTGTTTACGTGAGAAACCGTACTAATTGGCTGTGTCGGGTGGTGGCAGGTTTAACGACACATTTATATTTCTAACCCCCCAAAAAAAACTATTATAAACATAACTGCATGAACGTTTCCTACAAAACGATTAAGCATTTTTGTTCAACCCTGAAAATAGAATCACGCCGAGTTGTCCCAAATGACCCACAATACCCTGCTGATCCTCGTCAAAGGGCATGAACACGTCGCGTGGACTCCGGTCATCCTCGCAGCGCCTTTTGGCTTTACCGTCGAACAAAGACGGCCAACCGCATCGCGCGCACTTTCGAGACCTCTGACGAGGCTTGCTTTGTGACGTGCGGATCGACAGCGCGCGCCTCCTGGGTGACTTGAAAACCGATCTACCCGCCCCCACGCGCCGTTTCCCTCGCCCCCTTCCCCCCCCCCACCCACCCACCGCAGTGGAGAGCGCACAAACGTGGCTTCGCCCACCCAGGCCTGCACGGTCGACTTCCCCGGCGAGGAGCCCGTGTTCGTGCGCCTGGCCGAGCCCCAGCTGCTGGTGGAGGGCAACCGCATGGCGTTCGTCTGCCAAGTGCACGGGGAGCCACCGCCCCACGTCTACTGGAAGAAAGGAGGGATCCCACTTTCTTCCGGATACAGGTAGGGAATCCGGTCGTGCTGCTGCTGCTGCTGACTGCTACCATTCGCTGTGAGAAACTGAATCCGTTTGGGAATTTCGAACCGTTGACGTTGAACAGTCCCCCCCCCCCCCCCCCCCCCCAAAACCAACGCGCACAAACCTTGCGGCACGATGGCGGAAGCAATAAGAAGATGAAAGATTTGCAAACGGAATCGTGTCCCTAAATTGTGACGATTCGTCACAGCATTGAGCGGGCGAAACGTTACATCCCTCCTGTTGAGTGCTACATTGATGCATACCTCTCAACCCCTTATCAGTGCCCTTACACACCAATTCAGACCTTATTGGTCACCCCGTGCCCCTTATAAATCTCAACGTTCATCCTACACAATCCCATCACAAGGGAGAAACACAAACAAATAGTCATCATATTATAAGTTTTTGGCCCGTATGGAAACGGCGGTACGCCGTATGGACCTGAAAACTCAATTTCCCTGTACAAGAATCCGGACGGGTAAACCGTGTGGGTTAACAGCTATGTTGATGTTGCCCATCCCAACCATCGTACGTCAACGCCAAAGGATAAAAAATCAGTGAGACCCCCCCCCCCCCCACTGAAAAGCCCTGAGGGAAAAAGCCCCCAAGAAACTGGGAGAGAAACCCAAGAAGCCAAGAGGGAAACACAAAACAATGAGGTATAGAAACATTTAACTGTCACACAAGCAAGGGGAAGTCTACTTTTGGAGTAAAGAGAGGGGGGGGGGGGTCCCTAAATGAGTTTGGGTAACAGCAATAGGCTAATGTTTGTACGTTCAACTTCTTTTGCACCATACGTAGCCAACCGTGCTAATCGGAAGCGGTGTAATGTACACCACTTAGTGAACACCCCCATCGTAAATTAAATTATAATGACCTCGGATGGCTGTTATCAGTTTCCCACTTGCTTCTCATTGCACGGCTGTAAGTAACTTTCGGGGCTGACCCCTTACGCGGAGACCTGGACCATCAGCAGCAGCTGCCGGTGCACTGCAGTAAATAGGTCTGAGCGAGTTATTTACAGCAGGTAAACAACAACACTGTGAGGAGGTAATGCTTGAGGCTTCACGCGTCCACGCCGTGGAAGAACCTCCGCTCGTCTTGAACTTGCGCGGCCGCTCTGCGCAGGTACAAGACGAAGTTCGACGCGCAGAGTGGGGAGTGCTGCCTGGAGATCTCCTTCATGCTCGCCGACGACGCGGGAGAGTACACCTGCGTGGCCCGCAACCCCCACGGCGAGACCAGCACCACCGTGCTGCTGCTGAACCATAGCAAGTACACGCACCTGCACGGCGGTCAGGCAACAAAAAAAAAACGCACGCACATCCCGGTGGTTACGGTAACCATGGAGGTCAAGGTCAAGAGGTCGCCACGGCAGCGATGGCATCGATGCGTGCGCATCCACGTCACTCTCTTTCCCTTGCCAGGCCATGCACCTCTTTGCCCCAGATGATTCAGGGGGAAATATATAGTCTTATCTGCGTCAGCATCGGGCCCTTTTTACTCATTGTCAGGTCCTTTTGCAAGCCCAGGCAACTTACTAATGGTTTGGTAATTGACAAACCGGCAGACTTAGCAATATCACAAAGTTGAAACTCGCTCACGATAACATTTGCTTAACCATGCGGTTGAATGTGTACCCTGTACTGCTCAATAGATGACTATCAAGCGCACCTGCATCAGACCGGAAAAGCAAACCCAGTGAAGAATGGTATGGCCCCTCATGCAGCACCCCCAGCCACACACACGCCGGAGTTTCTACGGGCACACACCATGCTGAAGAAAGTGCCCAGGCCCACTGTGGACAGACAGGTGAGTTCCACGTGATAATGGAATACCACCTGCCTAGACCTAAGGGGAACCTGTGTTGAATTTTCAAGGTGCATTTAGCATACACGGTTATGTGGGTAATGTATTTGTTACACATGGTAAGCGTTTGCAAATTAGACCTAACTTTGGAAATTTGGATACTTACAAAGTTGATAGTTGAGTGTTGCATGCACCTGCACGTCCATTTTAAAGCAGCCAAGAGCCCATCAACTGGCTCCGTAGGGAAAAGGGCTCAAGCATATACGCGTGCGCTTTCGGATGCACTTCTGCAGCCATCTATAATGCTCTTCTTTCCGATATTCGGAAGCCACTGAGCGATGCATTTTTACATCAAGATTGAAAACGAATTTCTTTAAAACTGCTTTTTTGTGGTTAGTTTGCTGTCCTTGTCCCCGCACCTCTGATTAGCATGGTTGACTACATACAGTGCGAAAGAAGTTCAACATACATACGTACACACAGGCGAGGAACACAGCGTCACCAGGCAGGCCCGGTGACCCCTGTGCTCCCGTGCCGCAGGATTCCTGCCTCTCGTCCTTCGAGGAGCGCCTGATGCGGGAGATCGAGTACCGCCTCGTGGGCCTCAGCCTGGAGGAGTTGCTGGCAGAGGACGGCGAGGGCCCCCCCCGGCACAGCGAGGACACCGGCCCCTCTTTCGAGCCGGCCGTGGAGAGCAGGCTCGTGAGCCAACGCGTCCAGGAGGGCTTCCCCGCGGCCTTCTTCTGCCAGCTCTCAGGACATCCCCTGCCCAAGGTGCGTTCGCACCCTCCCCGAGACAGGGGTGAACTTACTACGTCCTGAGACCCAAGTCCTCTTGCTAAGCCGTGGATGCCTGTGGCATTGAGTATGATTAGCCTTTAGGTAAATTCGGTGAGAAAATAAATAACTGGATAAATAAATATGTTATCCCATTCTTAGAAAGAACACTGGGAAAAAATATGTCAGAAATTTGGTTCTGTTGGAGTGACATTCAAACTAAGTGATTATTCGAATTGATATGAGAATAAATGGGCACAATCAGAGGTTTTCCAAGAAATAATTAACCCTGCCATAGAAATGTGAAATCCCCACCACCAGTAAAAGACTGCCGAAGGAGAAGCGCACCACGCCAATGCTGTCAGCACGTGGGTATCTTTACTTAAACTTGACATCACAATATTTATTTAGGTGAGCAGTACAGTAAATCGTGTCTTTAGAAAACCATTCGGCAAGGTGCACCGGTGAACTGTGTCAACTTCCCAAAGTTATCTGGAACAACAAAACATCAGTTTATATGCTTAATCGCTACATTGCTTATTGTTGCACAAGCTCATGCACCCCTTGGTTGACCTTCCCTGCGAACCAGATCCTGTGGTACAAGGATGGCCGGCGGATCTTCACGGGTCCTCACTATCAGCTGGTGGGCCCGACGAGGCAGGGCGAAGTGGAGCTGCACATTCCCAGCATCCTTCCCGAGGATGAGGGCATCTACACCGTGCTGGCCTGCAACGCCTCCGGCAATGCCGTGTGCTCCGCCAAGCTGTCCATTGAGCCAGCGGGCAACGGGGCTGGGGGGCTGCCTTCGCCCATGTCTCCGGCACGCCAGCAGATCCCCATGCCGGCCTGGCCCGGCACCCAAGGGTCAGCCTCGCAGCTTCCTCCTCCTGCCAATAGGTCCCAACGGTGAGGTCCACTCTTGCATTTTTGCTGAACTTCTTTCGCACCGTACGTAACCAACCGTGCGAGAGGGGGCATCCTGTGCCTCGACGGGTCCTGATTCATCTTCTGCCCCGCCACGGGACGCAGGCCCCTGTCCCCCGAGCGAGCAGAGCCGGTGGGGGCGCTGCAGGACACGAGTGCGGAGATCCTGGTGGAGCGGCTGCACAAGCCCATGTTTGTACAGAAGCCCGAGTCGGCCAGCGTCACCGAGGGGCAGACGGCGCGCTTCGACCTCCGCGTCGTGGGCCGGCCCATGCCGGACACGTTCTGGTTCCACAATGGTACGTGCAGGACACGTGGGTTTGGCGTGAGGGGTGAACGGAAAGGCGCACGTGAAGGATGTTGGGCTCAGCCAGATTTGAAGTGAAAATCAAAGGTCGTCTCAAATCGTTGGCCCTGAATGAGTGGTGAAAAGTGTACGTTCTGAGGCAGGAACCAATCCTATCCACAGTTGAACCACCGTAACCGTTCGGCAAAAAGGTACGATTTACATATTTTAAGTTATGGTCCCATACCTTGATATTCTACACTCGTTGCTTTTAGACACTAGGGGTTCAATTCATGTGTGGGTTACACCACATTTGGCACCTATCAGTGGCAGTTATACATACACGACAAAATGATCCCCCTATAGCCCTAACAGACTGCTGCTGGTGCTAATGCCGTAGCGATCACTTATTAGGTTTGGGGTATAGTGGTAAACATCATGCCCTGACCACTTTTGTTTTCCTCAGTACTAAAGTGTACACACCAAGTACTCACTTAATGCTGAATTGGCATAGAGAGGGGGCCCAGAACCAGTTCCGATATCACGTGACCTATTCCAACTTAAAAAAAAAAGAAATGAGAAACGTAATCGTTTGCAAGCCCTTCAGCGTCCGAGTGATCGCGCCTTCATCGGTGGGGGGGGGGGGGATTTGCGTGGCAGGCAAGCAGGTGCTGAACGACCAGACGCACAAGGTGGTGGTGAAGGAGGACGGCACGCAGTCGCTCATCGTGGTCCCGGCGACCCCAGCGGACGCTGGCGAGTGGACGGTGGTCGCGCAGAACAAAGGAGGCTCCACGTCTGTGAGCGTAGAGCTCGTCGTGGAAGGTGTGTGGGCGCGCCACACAGCACAACGCCAACCCCCACCCATCCGTCCATCTCGATCTGTTCATCACTCACTTTAAGAGTAGAAGCCAAAAGGTTGCATTCAGGTCGTTGAACGCTTTTTTCCGCACCGTACGTGGCCGACCGTGCTAATCGGAGGTGCGGGGGCAAGGACGACAAACTAAACACGAAGACCAGTTTTAAAGAAATGTGTTTTCAATGTAAGGTCAAGGTGTCTCCATGCTCAAACAAGAATCCGGGGGGGGGGGGGCTATATTCACCTGTTTAGAGCCAGTGGTAGAAATGTCTCTGACCACTCTTTTTATATCTATTCCAGTGCTGAGATGGCAAGGTTATAAAAGCAGCAATTCAATGTAATTCCACAGTGGTCATTTCCAGCTTGATTTAATCCGATTACTCACGTAATTTCACGATTGCATCTAATTCACGTAAAATGCAATGATTTATACTTTCTAGTAAATCTACAGTGGCTATCCAATGGACTTACTGTCCACTGCCATCGGGAATGTTGCATATCCACCACACACTGGAGGCCAATTCAGTGAGATAAGTGCTGTCAATGTTGATTTAAGCATGGCAACTCTTTAGGTTTGGCTCAACGTCATTGTTGAGGTTTTCTATGACTCAATATTCGGCAGCGGTCGTCATCATTTTGCGTCGCTCACCGTTTGGTCATCGCCGTGCCGTTACGATACCCTGGCGCGGCCAAGCGTGACACTGCGGCTGTGCACCATCGGGCTGTAGTCGTTGCCGGCACTCTATCTCCTCTCTCCCCGCTTTTGATTCTGCCGACAGCCAAGGAGCGCCTGGAGAAGCCTCGCTTTGTGGAGAAGCCGAACAACGTGTGCGTGAAGGAGGGCTCCGCCGTGCAACTCACGGCCCGCGCCATCGGCAACCCCACCCCCGACATCGTCTGGCAGAGGAACAACGACATCATATTCCCGCACAAATTCCCACACTACGAGTGAGCAATTTGTACCCTCTCCACGCACTCCGCCGGCTGGCCTGGTACGCACGCCGTTCCACCCCTTGCATTTCCATGCGACAAAACGCAGAGCGCACTGGCGATGAGGTGTCGTGAAGGCGCCTCGGACATGCAAGAGGGCTCGTCATGGCCATCTCAAAGCAACAGGTCGACACGACTCAGTTCCTGGCCTTGAATCTAGCCAGTAATATGACTAAACCAGGTTCTATTCACTTGGCTTTATAGTAAAATTATTGTTAGAAAGAGATCAAATTAAGATTATTACAGTTCCTTTTGATGTCCACTCTTCTCTGGTCATGAAGGGTTACAGCTATAGTGATGGGAAAGATAATCCTACTGAAGTGACATTAGGATTAACAGTCCATGTGAAGAGTAGTCATCGCTAATCTCTGTTGGCGGTCTTGAACCAATAGTGAAAATTTCACATTCCTGTGGCAAGCTTCAGGCATACGCAAATGACGTCTTTTAACTTGTCACAGGACGGTGATCATTTTATAAACCTCAGATAAAGTATGGACTGAGTTGACCCCTATTGGAATTTAGACACACAACCTTAGCATTGTATGTACTCTGCTACACCTTTACCCAGCTGGATATAAAGTAATTTATGAATTCTACTCCTCACATGTGTAACCCCGTGTTCACCCAGATGGGCCATCAGAGATTCTTTATGTAATTGTATTTATTTACGTGTCCTATATTCCTCTGCACAGGGTGGAAAACACGAAGGGGGAAAGCACACTGACAATTTACTCAGCGAAGCCCTCGGACATGGCCTGGTACACCATCATAGCCCTCAACCGGGCAGGCCGGACCATGGCGCGCTGCAAGGTGCAGGTGGAGGCAATGCTATCGGACCGGCAGCCCGAGCCCGAGCGCAAGCTCATCATCCCCAAGGGCGTGTACCGCGACATCGCTCCGCCCGTGCTGGAGCCGCTGCACCTGCGCCACGGCCAGGACCAGTGGAACGAGGGCGACCTCTACGACAAGGAGACCCAACAGAGGCCCTTCTTCAAGAAGAAGCTGACGTCCGTTCGGCTGAAGCAGTTCGGGCCCGTGCACTTCGAGTGCCAGATGACGCCCATCGGGGACCCCCACATGGTGGTGGAGTGGCTGCACGACGGGCAGCCTCTGCAGGCCGCTAACCGCTTCCGCATCGTCTGCGAGTTCGGCTACTGCAGCCTGGACTACGAGGTGGCCTACCCGAGGGACAGCGGCATCATCACCTGCCGCGCCACGAACAAGTTCGGCTGCGACCAGACGTCGGGCTCGCTCATCGTCAAGGACGAGAAGAGCCTGGTGGAAGAGAGTCAGCTCCCGGAGGGGCGCAGGGGATTCCACCGCTTGCAGGAGCTCGAGAAGGGCATGGCGGGGACAGCCGTGTCGAAGGAGGATGTCCCGGATGCGAGGGAGAAGCCGTACTTTGTGATGTACCCCGAACCGTGCCGGGTGTACGACGGGGAGACGGCTCGGTACCACTGCCGCGTCACCGGAGTGCCCCAGCCCAAGGTCTTGTGGTTCCTCAATGGGCAGCGGATCCACCGCAGCAAGCGGTTCCGGCTGCGCTATGACGGCATCCATTATCTGGAGATCGTCGACTGCAAGTCCTACGACACGGGAGAGGTGAAGCTTGTTGCGGAGAACTCGGAGGGCTCGGTGGAATGCAAAGCGGTGCTGGAGATTCTGCCAAAGCAGGACTTCAGGGCTGTGCTGCGTAAATCTGTGCTGGAGGGCAAAGCCGACGGTCACAAGGATTCCGGGAAGGCGCTCTTCGAGGTGCGCAAGCCGAAGGGGCCCCTTCAGCACTCGTCGTCGCACGCGCCCATCGAGGTCGTGAAACTCAAGAAGGCCGAGAGGATCACCCACGAGAAGCAGTCCGAGGAGACAGATGAGCTCCGTGGGAAGTTCAAGCGCAGGACCGAGGAAGGATACTTTGAGGCCCTTACGGCCATCGAGCTCAAGAGCCGCAAGAAGGACGCCGACTACCAGGAGATGCTCAAGAGGAAGCGGGAGGAGCTTGTGCACAGGGCCACGGAAGCCACCGCGGAGGAGCTGGAGCAAGAGAGCAGGGCTGCAGGGCAGGTCTACAAGGTGGAGCGCATGCAGCTGGCGCCTGGCATGGAGCCGCCGAAATTCACCGAGCGAATCCAGAGCCAGACGGTGCCCGAGGGTGGCGAGGCTCGTTTTTGCGTCCAGGTGAAAGGCAAGCCCCAGCCCGAGTGCCAGTGGTTTCTGAACGGCGTTCTGCTGGAGAGATCGGAGAGGCTGAACTGGCACTGGCCCGAGGAGAGCACGTGCGAGCTTGTCGTCCAGGACGTGACGGCACAGGACTCGGGCAGTGTCATGGCCAAGGCGGTGAGCGCAGCCGGGGAGACCACGAGCCACGCGTTCCTGCTCGTGCAATGTAGGTAATCCGCCTCCATCTGTCCTTCATTTGCCCTTTCTGTTGCGATTGAGAAGTGCAATTGGCGGATCGCGCGTTTCGTAGTCTGAGACGGACAAAGCCAAAGATCCCCGTATATAGCCTTAACAGACTGTTGGGGCCAGTGCACCACGCCCGACCACCTTTGTCTCCCTAGTTGTAATGTTTACACACCACAATAGGTACTAATTTGAGGCTGAATCGACCTAGGGGAGGCCCAGGACCGGTTCAGATCATTGTCATTGGTGTTGGCTGTGAGCGGGAATCGAACTCGGAGCATAGCGTGCTAACTGCTACACTACCGCTCCCCACAAAGACACCCACCTGCATACATACATTGTGGTCTGTGATGTGACTGAATGGACTAATTTCTCTGTGCCTTTTGTTTTAGCGCCATTTCTTTAATTGTTTATATTTTTTCTGAGGGTCTTTCATTTGCTTGGTACAAATATATAATTTGGCCCTTCTAGATAATGTACAGCATTGTGGGATGCAATTAGCATGAATGATGCGATATAAAATTTAATTATTATTATTATTATTATTGTTATTTAGGACCACCAATGGAGATGAACCGCACTCCATTGTTAGTTTCAGCAGGCAGGCGCTCGCTCTCAGACAGCGAGTACGCATCGAGAATATTTGCGAAACATCGTGTGCAAGGTGTCCCAACAATTGAAGCAGGTGGGCAGGAAAGGGGTTATGCTGCCGTTTATCATCCTCATTATGTCAAGAGCTTTTAAGTAATTTGCACCCTCCCCGCTCCAAGGCACGCACTCCATCGCCAGGCCTGGTATAAAAATTGTTATGACACTTTGGCCATTAAAATGTGTTTCTAATGTGGATATGTTGAGTTGTGCGTGTTATCCCCGCACTGGTGTTGCACGAGTTTCTCCCCTGGTACGCCACTCTCCTTCCACACGACACAACCAATAAAGAAAACGGTCAAGAGTAGCAGGGCCCTATTGAAAAAAAGACTTTCAGATCCGAAATTATTTTTTAGGCTAAGGATGATTCAATCCGAAAAATATTGACATTGCACTATAAGTCAGCAATGAATATATAACTTATACGTGCATGCTGCAGTGTTTGAAAAGCCACCTTCTGTAAAGCCAGCCAGACGTGTGTATATGCGATATAAATAATTTATACTGATTTTTGAAATCACGTACACAATTATGTTCCTGTGTCGTCAAAATTACATGTAATTTCATGACATTGATTCGTTGGTTTAAGTATACATTACTGTATCCTGATTTGTTTAACCCATTCCTATGTTAAAGTCATACTACCAGTCCTGTAATATATTTTTGTTAATCATTGCATTTGATTTTACATCTATAACCTTGCCACATTTTTACTGTCAGTAATTTATCTCCGATAGTAATATAACGAAATCTTTTAGTTATCGGCACCTATTTACTCTGTGTCATACTTAAATCTTTACTCTGTAATGGCTTCTGAATACTTGGTTTACAGTTTAACACTGTAAAACCAGTTTTCGTCGAAGCCTCTACCGGCTACTGCAGGGCCACGGCAACATTCAGAGAATCCATAAAATGACTTGGGACCAGATTCGTGCCACTATTTTGGCCATGTTAGCTTGGTTTTCTCTGGCTACTCTAGTTTCCTCCCAGCTCCCATTAAAATAATCTTATGAATTGGTACTTTATCAAATGAGAAAACTATCGCTAAGAATTTAATCGAAGCAACTTGGAAGTTCATTATAGATAAAAGCAAAAACATGCTGTAGATGTAATGAACAAAAGGGGGTTGGGATGGGTGGGGTCACGTGTTCAGGATGCAGGAGAGCAGGTTACCAAAAAACACGCATCAGAGTGACCGCCCAGAAGTCTCCAAGCAAGGAAGACTAAAAACCCAAAATGGGTGGGATACATTAAAAGCAGACCTTGAATGTCGGATGTCAAATGACAGTTACGGTATTTAGCGGAAGATAGAAGGCGACGAATGTATGTACGTACAGCATGTATTGATGTTGAACTTCTTTCGCACCGTGCTTAGCCAACCGTGCTAAAATGAATGTCATAAATGGCCTTGATGAGCTCACGTACTTGACGCCTCTCTGCAATGGCCCCCTTTTCACCTCCGCCCACCTCTTGCAGCGAAGCAGGTGATCACCTTCATTCAGCCCCTGTCGGACGTCTTCGCCAAGGAGAAGGACACGATGGCCACCTTCGAGTGCGAGCTGTCGGAGCCCTTCTTCAAGGTGAAGTGGTTCCGGGACCGTCGGGCGCTGAAACCGGGAGACAAGTACCGCATGCACTCGGACCGCAGGGTGCACATGCTCTCCGTCCTCGCCATCGAGGAAAGCGACGCCGACCTCTACACCTGCGAGCTGGCCGAGGACAGTTCCGTCAGCTGCGCTGCCACGCTCATCGTGGAAGGTAACGACGCACGTGCCGTACGGCGCAGAAATGCTCGGGCAACGGGGATATTTTAAGAAATGTTTGTACAAGATGGACGGCTTGCCCTTCCATTCCGTGATCAAAGCCCTCCCACGATGCACACGGTCCCCGTATCACTTCTTGAGCTACTTCAAATGCATGTTGCACGAAGGAGGGTTCATGTTTTTTCTGCTATGGTTCCATTTCACTACTCCCCACCCGTTTCCCAATGCTACCTCAAGTATCAAGTGTGCTACCGGAGTTATATCATGAGATGAGGAATCCATTCAGAACTCTAGCAGAGCAGTTCACCACCCTCGTTTGATGAATGTCAGTTGACTATGAAATGTAGGCAAAAATTTTAAAAAATAAACTCAAGAAGCTCAGCTTTGAGAAATAAAGACGGTGGTTTCATCCCCATGGGATTAATATTTTATTCGGAGCTTCTAACGTTACACCACCAGTTTGTTATAAAGCTTTTTGGGTTAAACGAGGTCCGATATTTTAGATGGACTCCTCTTGTCAATAACGTTTGATAACCCAGCAGCATACTCTTTGGTTCTATTCGGTAAAGTCACGTAGGTAAAAAAAAAAATCACGACGTTTCGGCCACAACACAAGTAGCCTTCTTCAGGTGAAGGAACAGAACTGTCGTGGCCGAAACGTCGTGATTTTTGTTGTTTCATTTTTTACCTACGTGACTTTACCGAATAGAACCAAAGAGTATGGATCCTTGCAGTCATTAAAGCTTCAAATCTAGAACCCAGCAGCATTTAACAAGCCTTGCTTTGTCAATGAGACCACGAATCGCCAAAACCGGTCCAGAGTTCGTGTTTTCAAAACGAATGCCACTTTATAATCTTGGGTCTTTCGGTAAAGTCACGTAGATAGGTTTTAAAGAAAATAACACAAAACTACGACGTTCCGATCGCAACACAAGCAATCGTCATCAGGAGAAAAAAGAGGCGGAAAGCTGCTGAGGCAGGGCTGTTTTAAAGGTTTGAAATGGGTGTAGCCCAAGGATCATGCTACTTTATAATATTGATCTTGAAATCCAATAGGCCACTCAACTAAAATACACATGAATTTCTATGTGGAGACACAGATCAGAATTCTGCAAATATATGACATGACCAATATGGGCGATGCATGTACTCGCATGCACATGGCCTCACACATTGTCTATTTACGAGAGACAATAGCGGCTCGGCCTATCATCTCTCCATATGCAAAATTGAACAAAGTGAGTACGACATAGTAGATAGCTATGAGTGGTCAGGAAGACTGGCCACTAATGGTATTTCTACCACCGCCTTGGATGTGCCAGCCATGCCGCTCCAATTCTCATTCAGGTATGGAGACTATTTGAATTAGAATCTCTATTTAATACGTTGAGCTATAAGGCTCTTTTACGCAGATTTCCAGTAGGGGCAGGTCCGAAAGTTACAATAACAAACAATACAAAAATGAAGGGAGTGAAAAGTATAGGAAAGGTAAGCAAATCACTCAAAAGAAATACGTAAAACAAATAAAGTATATAAGTTCACCAATCTCCAAACTTGGGCAAGGCAGCAAAACAACAGCAAGAACAGTCCCAGACCACACCAAGACAACACAAAATTCCTCAATAAAAGTACATATGAAAATGTAACTATCGATGCGCAGTTAAGGATGAAAGTTACAAATCACATTTGCAAATGACGTTTAGCCACCCATGGAAAGCTTTGCGCGACTTGAGTTTTCGAATTCATTTTGGCGCCCGCGCGTGCACGGCAGGCACGCTGTTGGAGATACTGAAGGAGCTGGAGGACGTGGAGGTGCCCGAGTCTCTGAGCGGCGAGTTGGAGTGCGTGGTGTCACGCGAGGACGCCGATGGCGAGTGGTTTCATGGGGACCGTCCTCTCGAGCACGGAGACAAGTACCACGTGTCGTCGCGCCGCGGCAGACACACCCTGGTGGTGCGGGACGTCGTTCGCGACGACGAGGGGGAGTACAGCTTCCACGTGGACGGCCTGATGAGCACCGCGACACTCTCCATGCAACGTGAGGCTCCCCCCACCCCCCCCCCCCCCGCCCCGCCACCACCCCCCAAATTGGTGGCGAGATGTTAACTCCCTCGCCTGGTATGCAGGAGGTTGTGGGTTCGATTCCAACCCTGATGCCTGCTGCTATATATTTAGAGTTTGCGTGTTCTCCCCATGGGTGCATGGATTTGTCTCCAGGTCCTCTGGCTTTTCCCTCCACATTTAGAAACGTGCGTTTTGAGTCTTGGCCTGCTATAAATTTCTACTTGATAAGTCACTTCGTTGAGCTATCATTTGTGGCCAGGTTGCTTTTGAAAAGTAACTATATATCTCAGTGGACCTCACCTGCCAAAATATAAAAATAACTCATACTTTTTAGATTAGTTTTAAACGATCTGAACGCAACCACTTCTCACAATACGTACTTATAGGATGTCAGGGCAGCTTAAAGTCGAATCGTTTTTCTTTAGGATGTTTTTTTTATCTTTCAAATTTGATGCTTTTATGGGTAATGGGCTACATGGCAAGAGGGGAAGAGGAGATGACGGCACGGTAACGTGCCACTGAAGTCAGTTTGGAGAAACAGGCAGATGAAAATGGGAAACTCTTGAAATTGGACTTGAATAAGGGGAGAGAATCTGCCCTACAGACCGCGACACGCAATAGAGGCAGTAACTGAGGAGGGGAAATTTCCCATTGAGTATTGTGGACGACCTGGAGTGGGGAGGCCTGGGAGTTACAATCGTCGAGCTGAGATGTTGTAAAGTTCATGGACAAGGATCTCATTTCAGAGGGGGCAATAGAGTGATGAGGTGCTACCTTAATGTGGTCCTGCAGAGAGATCAGGCAGGAGAACGATAGCTCACAATCAAAACACGGTGGTGCTATATGCTGGAAGAATAAACCAGGTGCTGTAGGCTGTTGCGGGGCTCCATTGTCAAGACGATGCAAGTACAGCAAAGTGAATTGTTGTACTGTACCATGCTGCAAAGTCTATGCCCTCTATCCAATCCGGCCTTGACCAACATCGCAAAGGGCGGTCAATTCACCACCCGTAACCTGCATTATAATACGTGGCTGAGGTTGTCATCCAGCAGCGGGTTGGACAAATGGGGGATATGCACGTGCATGTGGTGTACGTCGCATCCTGACGTGCCCGTTTGGCCGTTGCTGCGTTGCGTGCAGTACGCCCGGTGACGGTGCTGCAAGGCCTTGGAGACACGGCGGCGTGCGAGGGTGAAGCCGTCCAGCTGGAGGTGCGCTTCCTGCAGGAGGCCGTGGAGGGCGTCTGGTGCCGGGACGGTCACGAGCTCACGCCTGGGGGCCGCATCTCCTTCTGCTCCAGGAAGCAGTCCCACCTGCTGTGCGTTGACAATGCGAGCTTGGCTGACAGCGGGGAATACTCCTTCGAGGTCCCGAAGCTCCAGTTCGTCACGTCTGGACGGCTCACTGTGCAGCGTAAGGCTTCGGCTTCCACGGTAGCCGCCAGATGGTCTCTCAGCGCGGCCTTATTCTGCCACTAGCGTAACATATTTAAGGGAAAATTGTGCATAAGGTCCTCTCTATTAACAAAAAAAAGTTATGCTTGTATGATGGTCCCATAGGAAACTGACCACTGTCAATTGAATGTGGAATTTCCATTCCGGGCTCAAGCCACTAACAAAGAAGAGTACTTCAGTGGTCTTTTGAGCAGGGAAACATGTTTTTAAACCAAACTGGGTAGCGCTGTAAAAGTGTGCTTGACTCACAATTCAAAGGTGACAAGTTCAAATCCCCGTCAGGTGGTGACTCAGCCCATCATCAGTTTGCACTGAATGAAATTATCATCACGTTGTAGTAGGAAAATGTTGTTCGTCTTATGGATTGACTGGCCACTGCCATATGAATGTGACATTTTCACCTCTGGCTCAGGTCACCCTTTTACTGCTTACGATAGCATTTGAGACATTTTGACTGTGATTGTGATCGTGTGACGTACTTCACGAGTGTGTGTCATTGTGCACTGGTTGTCACGGCTCAAATCTGGGACGTTTGGCCAATTTTGGGGTTGGCATGAGCTGGCAAAAAACCTCCACAAAACCACTGCAGCAATCGCAACACGATAGTTAATTCCATCGACTGTCGAGATTAAACGTGGACGGGTGCAGCCCTAACCACACAACCCATACATGAATGGACCGGTCCGTTCCACAGAGGCACATTCTTTTGGACCCATGGGCAACCAAACATTTTGTCAGTAAGCCGGACTGTGGTCAGCGTCACACTCACCGTTACTTAAATTGGCCACCGCCTATTTAAGGTTTGAGATTGAACGTGACGGGGCACACTTCTGGGATTGCTTTAACTCAGCAAACTCCCAGTTTGCCGATGACCCAGTCCAACCCTGGTCAGAGTTCACACTGTTCAATTTTTTTTCTTGTTCACAACAGGCGTGGAGGTGGCAAGGGAGCTGCAAGATCAGGATGTGCTGGAAGGCACACGGGTGGTACTGGAGGCCAAGTTGTCCATCGCGGACGTGCAGAGCCGCGTGTGGCTGCGCGATGGGGAGCCCCTAAGCCTCGGGGATCGTGTGCAGCCCGTCGTCAAAGGAACCAAGCAACGCCTCGTATTCTCTCGCGTCTTCGCATCAGACACGGGCGAATACACGCTGCAGGCGGGCAACGCCTTCACGAGCTGCGTGCTCGATGTCCGAGGTGCGTTGATGCGAAATGTCAATTACCTCGCCGGGTATGCAGGAGGTCGTGGGTTTGATCCCGACCCTGACGCCTGTATATTTGGAGCTTGCATGTCTATAGAGTCAGAATCACAATATTTATTTATACCGGAGGAATCCAACGAGCAAATAAAGCTCCTTTTCACATACGTTCAGTAGTGAACGATGAGCAAGCACAGTCCACGCAAGCACGCAGAGTGGACACAAACCGAACTTCCGTTGCGCCGCCCCCCCTTCCTCCCTCCCTTTCCTACCACGCAAGACGTGTCCATCGTACGGGGGCTGGAGGAGCGCACGTGCTGCGAGACGGAGGACGTGACGCTGGAGGTAGAGGTGTCGCACGCCGGCATTGAGCCGCGCTGGACATTCGGCGAGCGGGAGCTGCGGCCCGGCGGACGCTGGAAGCTGGAGATCCAGGGCCACGTGTGCCGTCTCACCCTGCTGGGCGTGAGCAAGTCTGACGAGGGCCTCTACACGTTTGCGGCCGGGGAGAAGCAGAGCTCCGCCAACCTCATGGTCACCGGTGAGCACCGCGCGACGAGTCGCAGGTGGAACCGAACGACCGGAACATCTGCAACGTTGCAGAGTTAATTTATCTGGGTTGTGTGTCCCAGGCTCGCCAGCGCGGGTTTGAAGCGTCGTTCATTTTAAAGGGCATCATGAAAAAAAGTACCTTCAGCAAACCGCCAAAAAGTACAACTGCCTTGCATGCATTATGTACGTACAGGAAACATTACCGATGCTGTTTGTGTTAATGAAAGAGCCTCTGATATTTTGGGTCACTAGGCTCATCGCACAAACCACCCACCGACATTTCCATCCGCCGCCCGAGCTGACGCGCCCCCCCCCCCCCCCCGCGGCACGCGGCGGGGGCGGTGCTCTCCCCGTCGCCCTGCCGCTCATCGTCCGCAGGCAGCGCCATAGCGGTGCCGCCGCAGGACGCGTGCGTGGTGGAGTCGCAGGCCGCCGTGTTCGAGTGCGAGCTGCACAACGCGCAGAGCGCGTGCCGCTGGCTCAAGGACGGGCGCGAGATGGCGCCGGGGGGGCGCGTGCGCGAGGAGAGCGACGGCGCCCTGCGTCGCCTCGTCATCGACAACGCGGGCCCGGCCGACGTGGCCGAGTACTCGTGCCACGTGGCCTCGTCGCGGGCGTCCGCCCGGCTCTCGGTGGACGGTGAGCGTCGTTGCCCCCCCCCCCCCCCCCGTCGTCGGCTCGTGCTCACATGAAGACGCGGTCGCGTTTGGGGACGCTGCGTGAATGTTAATCGTATAGGCGTTGCGTACGGGAGGAAATGACGGCAGACAAATAACGGTGTTTTGATTTAAAGCTTTCGCGACTGCAGTAATTCATATTCTTAGCTCTTTCGGTAAAGTCACGTTGAAGGGAAACAATAAAATAATAAAATATATTTAAAACAATAAAAATTATCACGACGTTTCGACCGTAACACAAACGGTCATCATCAGGTGTGAAAAACCAATGGCAAGAAACATTTGAAAGAAGTGTCGGTTAAAATACATTTATTTATTTATTTATTGTCGATGCATCTATTTATTAAAAAAAACGTTAGCGCCACGGGCAGCGATTTGGTAGTTTATTTAGGACGAGGATGTGATTCCGGACATACAGTACCCTGGTGTCTACAAACTAAGTTGCCTCTGTGGTAGTAGTTACATTGGAGAAACCAAACGCCATGTCTCGGACCGCATTCGTGAACACAAAGCAGACCTTAAACACGGTAGGACCAACACCTCGGCCGTGGCAGATCATTGTTATAATTCGGTAGGCTCACATGACATTGACTTCTCCAAGACAGAGGTTCTTTGTAAGCCATCTGGCTACCATGAGAGATTCGTTCATGAGGCTATCCACATATACAAGCACAGAGACAAATTAAACCGAGAAGATGGATTCTGGCTTAGCAATCATTGGAAGGATTTAATAAACCATTTCAGGTCTTAATTGATTGCTCACGCTTACGGTGGCTTTCAGACAGCATAATAAATTTTTCGTCTCCCCCTCCTCTTTTCAGAACATAGATGGACTCGTCCTTCTAAATAAACTGCCAAATCGCTGCCCGTGGCGCTAACGGTTTTTTTTTATAAATAAATACACCGTTTAAAAATAAATTAATTAATGCGAACCGACACTTCTTTCAAATGTTTCTTGCCGTTGGTTTTTCACACCTGATGACGACCGTTTGTGTTATGGTCGAAACGTCGTGAGAATTTTTATTGTTTTATATATTTTATTATTTTATTGTTTCCCTTCAACGTGACTTTGCCGAAAGAGCTAAGAATATAAATAACGGTGTTATTCATGGTATCTATATTAGTATCATTTATTTGTATCTGTTTAACACGTATCTACGTCGATGACCTTTAACACGTGTCTACATCAACTACCTATTTGTATCTACGTCAATGACCTTGTGTTGTGCCTTACTTAGTAAGGTCGCATTCACTACGCATAAAGCGCTTGCCAGAAATGAACCACAATACCTTGCTGATCTCCTTAAGGAGCATAAACCATCACGTGAACTCCGGTCATCCTTGCAGTGGCTTTTGGCTAACCATCGAACACAGACAGTCACCTCATTGCGGGTTTTCAGATGTGCTTCTGCGGTCATCCTACAATGCTCTTCCTATACTAAGAAGCCACTGGAGCTATGCACTTTTACATCAAGATTTAAAACTAATTTATTTACCACTGCTTCTTGTGTTTGGTTTGTTGTCCTTCCCCCGCACCACTGATTAACATGTTGAATAAGTTCAACATACATACATTCTAACCAATGATTTGACTGTGTCATAATATTCTTTGGTTAAAAATAGTAATAAAGTGAATAATTTTTTTTTAAAAAAACGACGACGTTTTGATCGCAACACTTGCAATCGTCATCAGGAAAAGGTGGTCATAATCTCATAAGGTAAAAACAGTGTTGAGCCTAGATAGTGCTTGGATGAGTGACCGCCATGCATTGACTGGCTGTTATTGGCCGCAGGGCTGCATAATGGGCAGCTGAGTGCAGTATAGCAGCTCCGACGTCCTTGCTCCCCACTTTCACCAATCCACACTGATCGGAGCGGTGCAGTACGGTCAATTAACCCCCATGACTTGCACGGCTTGGGGAGGCCCTCATCCAGCAGTGGGTTGACGAAGGGGCTGTACAAATACAAATGGTGTTAATTATGATGTGTGTGGTTTGGCCACTATGGCCTTATTTCCATGACCCCTTAGAATATTGGCTCTGCGTTGGGCCATGGCCCATGCCATGGGAATGGCCCAGGGGACAAGCCGATATCCGAACCACCTGTCTCCACGCCCGATATTCTAAATGAGGCTCAGAAAACTTGCTCCATCGCTGTGTTCCTCTGACTCTCTCCACACGCTCATTCCTGCCTCCCTCTACCTCCTGTTGCCTAGTGACCTAGCCCGGGAAGGTGCAGCTTGACCGGGGAGGACATATAGGTAATGTTTGGGGGTGATAGTCATCAGGCAATGTTTCAACAACGTCACAAAGTTAAATGCAGGTATAATTGCGAGGCCATTGTAAGTAAAACAATGTGTCTTTGTTTTATGTTATGTGTAGTTTTATATTTAACACAGACTTTAGTATACCTGTCAACCCCTTATCAGTGCCCTACCTTATTACAGACCAATTCAGACCTTATTGGTCACCCCGTGCCCTTATAAATCTCAACGTGCATCCTACAAAGTCCCATTACAAAGGAGAAACACAAACAAATAGACAACAAACATGTGCCCGTATGAACCTGAAAACTAAAATTTCCCCTGTACAAGAATACGGGTAAACCGTATGGGTTGACAGGTGTGGCCGGTAGCTAAGCAGAGCGGCTATTGGCACCGGCTCACCGCCTGGCAAGCCTTATAGCTGCTCGGCGGTTACTCCAGCGATAGTGAGGGATGTAATTTGCATGAAAGACGCCATGTGAAACTAATCATTAGATTTGTTTATTTTTTCAGCTATGTCACGGTGACCTCGTGACATGATATTCATAGTGAGGCACCCCCTGCTGTGTTTATATTTTGCGAAGATCAGACTGGTCACTGAGCATTTCGCTGCACTGAGCTATCTTGGCAATCCCGGGCCACTTAAAGACATTTCACATTGTAGGAGCCACTAGTCTGTTCACAGGGCAACCACTGTTTTGTCCGCCAAAATACATTATACATTTATCCACCAGGGCACTATATTATATTCGTAGTGTTTTGAATGTGGAGAAAGACCGGAGAATTTGCGATGTGTTGCCATCATACACGTTGCACTGGCCATCTCTTACCACTCACTGGCGGTTGTGAGTCTCACACAGAATCTGCATGGTCCACCAACCCTGCCTCCAAGGCAACGTATTACAGCCTGACTTAGACATCCCGCACCTCCGATGATCATGGTTGGCTACATACGGCGAGAAAGAAGTTCAACATCGAGAGAAAGGAATGAATTCCCGAGCGGCGCGTTCACTTATAAGACAACGCGTTTCCGAACTGTTGCTCTTTGACACGGCGTTTGAACTTAGTTACGATTTTCCTTTGCCACCTACACCGTTTTGCTGGTGGCTTGGCTGCTGCCTTTGCTCTTTACCATCGCGATAGCTGTGAAGATCAAGAAGACGCTGAAGGCCGTGTCGGTGCTGGAGACGCGTGCAGCCATCTTCACGCTGGAGCTGTCGCACGAGGACGTGGCGGGCGGCGTGTGGATCCGCAACGGGGTGGAGCTCGTGCCGGGGGACAAATACGAGATGTGGTCGGAGGGCACCGTGCACACGATGCGCATCAACAACTGCTGTCCCGGCGACGAGTCCGTGTACAACTTCAAGCTGGGCAAGCTGTCGGCCAATGCACGGCTGCACGTGGATGGTAGGAGTCTGCACCTTTGTGCTGTGGGAAGTTTCTTTCTTTGAACCGGAATGAGATATCTGGTCACCGTTTGTGCAACATAATGCCATGTTTAGCATTTTCAAATACGTGCAGTATATATTTACACGGCCAACTTATTCGGACTCTTCGAATTAACATATATTCCATTTTACCGATGGAAAAAATCAAGTGGAAATATCCTTACTGTAGGCTTTGTAGCGTGATCTACAACTGTTGCATTCGTCTCTTTAACCAAAGCTGCTGATATCATCATTTCTCCATTTCATATTTTTTTTAAACAATTGCGAAGTGTAATCAGCAACTACATGCTAAGTAATTGCAATCTGATTACGCATTGAGCACATGGAGTAATAACGTGACAAACAGTACCTTTAGAAACGTGGTTATAAAAATGTGTTGTATAGATTTACTCTTTAAAACGTATTGGGAGGCACTTTCACACTCGTGAAAATTATGCAATGGTCAAACGTCACAAAAAATGGTCGTTTTATTTTATTTAAGACCCAAACAGGAGGATTGTTCCACAATTATGACTGTCACCTAATGAGGTTAGTTGTAATTACTTGCGAAAGGTCATACTCGAATAGTAAATGTTGTGAGTTTACTCTCCAACACACCGGTGTGCTGAACTACTAATTGGCATGTTTTGTTTACGTGCCAAACCTTACAAATTAGTTGTATTGGGTGGTGGCGGGTTTAACGACACATTTATATTCACACGATCTAACACACAAAAACGATTATCGTTTTGCTTTGTTTGATTAATAATAATAATGCCTTTGATGTATTAAAAAAAGAAAAGTCTTTTGACATAACTGCATCCATCCCCGCCGTTTCTAACAGCCGTGAAAGTGGTACGCAAGATGAAGGACGTCTGTGTGACGGAGGGCGAAGTGGGAGTCCTGGAATTGGGCCTCTCCCACGAGGGCATCGCCGTCAAGTGGCTGCACAAGGGAGAGGCCGTCAAGTCCGGCCAAAAGTACCGGCTCAGTGCCGAGGGCAAGAACTACCGCTTGGAGGTGCTGGCTGCGAGCGACGAGGACAAAGGGACCTACACGGCCGTCATTGGGCAAACGGCAGTCTCAGCTGAGCTCTCTGTTGAAGGTGAGGTGCATCCTCATTCTGTTGGTAATGACGAGTCTTTTATTTTCCCCCCGTAAACTCAGGAGTTTTAAGACTTTTTCATGGTTCCTGCTTTGGATGGTTGATTGGTTTGTGAGTCATTTTGCATCGAGCAAGTGAGACTGAATACCCAGCAAACACCCATGTCCACGAGAGGATAACAACTGATACTCCTGAGGTGTATATATCTGGACATTGTTCATTGCATTTTTGGGGGGTGCTATTTGACGTTCAATTTGAAAATTGGCAATCTTTAGCAGAAAGACCCTTGTCCAAAATGTAAGCCTCCTATATGTGTTTTCTGTTATAAGGCAGGGTTGACGACAACCACGGTATTCAGTATTCCTGTCGCTCTGCTCAACTTCCTTTAAATTGGTAATATTTGTATTTATACCAGAGGGATGATAGGCTAATTATGTTTCTGAGTCATTAAATGTTTCGACCCCAGTTTGGGAGCCAATATAGCCCATCATTCAGCCACAATCGGTTTTTGTGTATTATAGCAAGGCCTCATTTAAGGCAGTAGATGCATTCCTGAAAAGTGCCGCGTGAAGCGCAAAACGCTTTCAGCAAAAACTATTTCCCAATAAAGAATGTAACGAGAAAGTTTGGCGAGATGCGATGAATGCACATACAGTGAGATGGTGGGACAATTAACTGATGGCACGCCACAGCGTGACTGTATCACTCCACGTGCTGTATCACTGCACCGCTAAGTGGCGCAGCTCAAGAAAGTAGTTCGTCATCGACCGCTCAGAAACCGTGTTATAACCGGGAGCGCGTTACAACAGGGTGCGCATTCCGCTTTGTGCGAAAAGTCTTTTTAAATGGAAGAACCGCGTTATAGCGAAAAACACGTTGCGGGGAACACCACGTGTAAGCGAGGACTTACCATATATGTTTTTATTAATTCATTTACATAATGCATTTGGTGAAACCTCTTTAATCTGGCCTTCATTAATTCAGGTGGATCATTATGTGTGGCCTGAAAAATGCGTGTTAATAGAATATCAAACCTGTGCTTACTATTGCAACGCCGATAAAAGTCTCATTGTTGTTATGTCCTTGTTTATGGCAGGTTGACTGAAGAACAAATCACGTGGTCGTGAAGTGTGAAGTTGGAAAGCGAGATGTCAACGTTGGTGGTGGAATAAATTGAATCTGGATGTTGTTTTTGAATAGTGCAGAAACATGAAATGAACATTACGTTGGCTATAAAGGATAACCCCCAAACTAAATGTGTTGACCAAGAAGGCAGTGTTAATGATGTCGAATGATTGACTTTAATGTGGCAGTTGGATACTTTGAAACGTTGCTTTGGATCACAGCACGGTTGTCCACTATTTTAAGAATGTAGCTAGAGTTGTAACGTGGCAAGGAGAATCGCGGATTGCGTTCAACACTACTAAAAACGCTAGAGACAGATACGTATTGTATAAGCATGTGAGCTTCCCGAGCGCCTGGAAATGTAGCGGACATTTTCACCACATATGGGCCATCGGTTGTTTTACTCGGACAAGAGCCACAGGGCTTGATGTTTGTTTCACCCACTGATGCACAAGAATGTCCTTGGTAGCATAAACAAATGAATTATTAAAATATTAAAATGTGTTTGCATTTCTACGTGGAAGAGTGAGTGAAGAGAACGTTCTTCCATTCCCTCATAGCTGAAGATGATGTAATAACCTGGCCGTGAATTCCCAACACCTTAACGTACTGATGGACAAGTCATTACAAAGGACTTTGAATTTCTAGGAGGCCCTCAATGTATTTCACTGCATGAATACAAGCAAACAATTAAACTGATCTTTTTATAGTATTTACATTATTACGGATTCAAGCCTGTTATGAGGTTGGTTGTTGGTAAATGCGTCAGCTAAAAGGTATGTTTTGCAAACAGTAAATGCTGTGTGCATTAGGAATGTCCTAAGATAACTTTTATTTGCAAATGAAAGCCTATTTTATGATAATTTAAAGAATAACACCTAACTCACTACAGTACTTAATAATAAAAAAACACACAAGGATTAGTAGGTGCTCGTCTGCATTGGTGGTCAGTTGTGGAAATTCCACATTCCTGTGGCGAAAAGAAGTCTCTCCACAGGATGAACACTGTTGAACTCCCAACACCATCGAGGGGTGATGGGCTAAGTCAACCCCAAATCTGAGCTAAACTCACATCCCTCGAATAGAATCGAGCACTTTGCCACAGCACTACCGGGCAAGATGGCCTCCACAAAGCATACACAAAATAGAAATATTCACAGCACCTTATCTATCTGCTCCTGGAAGGCCTCCTCCATTCTGTCAGTCATTGGGGTTATTTAACCCTTCTTAACCTCGCTGGGTCACGCAGATTGGTGGAGAGAGGGCCTCGGACTGGTTCAGATATGTTGCATTAATATGTGCAGGAGATTAAGCGAGCCACTGGCTTGCAATGCTGGGAGTGGCCACCTAAGGGGCCGTCCATAAATGACGTCACGCACCTGGGGGGGGGGGGAGTCAGACATTCGTGACGATGTGTGACGAGGGGGCGGGGGGTTGAGAAATGTGACGTCACATCAAAATGTGCAACTTTAAATATAGACAACACGTTCTACTTAATTAGACTTTTTAATAAATTTATTCTCCTACAACACCAGAGTGCAGCGCCACGTTAAATACGCATTATAATGACAATAGTTTAAAGCGATTTGAAGCATATTTTATTTGGGGGGGGGGCAGAGATTTGTGACGTCATATTTGAGGGGGGTCTGACTTTTTGTGACGCCGTGTGACGAAGGGGGAGGGGGGTCAAAAATCGTCCCAAATCGCGTGACGTCATTTATGGACGGCCCCTAATGAGTAAATAAAAATGGCAATTATGTACAACCATTATATTATCAATGACTGCCAGGAAAATATAGCCCTGATACAGCTTTGAGTGTACCTACAGGTACTGGCTTACAGGAGGGCCCTTACAACAAAACTGAACTGTAATTAGCCTCTTTGTATGGAAGGTATGTTGATCCCAACCAGTGAGATTAACAATCAAATAAAACTATTTCCAGCTGAATTCACAACTTGTTTTTTTGTGAAGCGCTAACTTGTCATCTTGAAGTGCATTTTAAAGTATATATGTGCAGAAGATGGTCATATGATTGACCTAAACGAGGTAAAGGTATTCAATACTATTGTATTAATTAACAAAACACATGGTAAGTCATAAAGAAGATTTAACAAATGTAAAGAAATTCAATCAACGTCATGGTTATCCCATCTCGTTTGGATAAGGGCATCATTCATGAAATGGCATGTATACTGTAGCAAGCACAGCTGAATAACTGATTTAACTTCATGATATTCTCAGAACATTTTATTTCGAAAGGCAGACTCTTCCAAAGTTCTGGAGCTCTAGTGTCGTTTTGAAAGACGTACTCCCATTGTATTACCAAAACAAGTCTTAGTAAAACATGTAATAACAGAACACAGCAGTTTATGGTCTGTGTGTGTGCAGTCGACAAATAGTAGCCAAACTATGAATATTGCAGTGTTTTCATACCGCACTGATGCTCAAAGGAGGATGTAGTTGTAAGTTCATATTAAATTCACCTCGACATTAAAGCCTGCAAGACCATCCCTTTTTTTACCACTCAGAATATTATTGCACCTAACGTCCTCGTTGCTACACCAATTTTCACCATGCATGACTTGATGAAAATAGAGTGGCCCACATGCTTATTTAATTCCCCAGGTGTGTAGTGAGAAAAATTGTAAATGTCCTTTGGATTGTCAAAGATAATGGGTCTTGTCTTCATCTCTTGGATGCGCCGACTCAGCTTGGCCTCCTTCGCCCCACTCATTCATGAGCCCTGGTTGATATTCGTTACAGGTTAAGAAGTGATTGGTCGAAGAGCTGCGTGTACGATACATTCAGTTTAGACTTAAAAGAAACATGTCATGGAATGTGGTAGGAAAAGGTGCAGCCCTAAGTTTTTTGGTCTACTCCACGCTGAGCAGACGTCTTAGAAGATGTGGGAGCACCCACACTTTACCCCACCACATGCGACCTTTCAAATTAATTAGTGGTGTACCCATTTATACTGCTGTTTGGTGGATAGATGTGGTGGACGGGAGGGGGGGGGGAGGTTAAGAAACTTTCACCTGTGCTTCAAGTGACGCTTCGGGGGAGCAAACTGGCAACATCTGGATTCCAAGTCCGGCATACGAACCATCATCACGCCATGGCAGCATTCCAATGGAATGTGGTACTCTCCTAGTCTTTTTTGGCGAGGGAATAATTGTCATAATTCCACAGAAAACCGATGTGGCTTTTAGCAGTGACTACCTCCTGCTACACTTAACGAAATGTATGCTTGGGAATTAGAATTTAAAATACGGTTATTTTGCAATATATGCGAGTGATTTTACTGTAAATGAGGATACACACATTTACCCTTTTATCTAATAAAAACAGATGTTTGTGTTAAGGCGTGACAAAATGGCATCATTTGTGCGTCTTCTTGATTTCGGGAAGGTGATATGCTCACGTCATTTATAGGGCAAGACCTTAATAGCAACGTAACTTCAAAATAACTCCTTATTTACATAATATAATCTTTTCGATAGTTATCGTGACCCCAGCCTCAGACAGATAGACAGAGCTAATGCAATCATTCAAACTTAGTTGGGATACATAAACAAATGTGAAGCTAAAATGTTGAGCAACGTGGCTCAGTGCTGGAAAGTCACCAAACGAACGTATACAAGTCACTAGATAGACCTACGCTATGAAACATAGTAAGCTCAAACTAGATCCTAAATAATTGCTTCTAATTGCTCCTAAATCTACACTAAGTTCTCCCGTAAAGTCGCTAGATTTTCACTAGTCGCTTTGATTAAAAAAAATTGCGAGGAAAACTCAAAATGAGTTGCCAACTACAAATCACTAAGTTGGCTACACCAACGCGGGCCTCTGTGCTGCTGTGACCACTTAACCACGATGGCCACTGTGAGGGCAAGGAGAGGAACACAGGGCACAGGAGTGGTGATGGAAATGCCCCAGAAGACGGAGCCTCAAGTTCCAATCAGCTGAGAAGACGTGTGAAGGCGTTTTTTTTAATGCATTTAGCATTAACACATGCTCATTATACATTTACCACATACATTCAAACAACCGGATGATCTGTCAAAACAAGTGCTAGTTGAGCATCCACATTTTCATGGACTACATGATCAGTGTGAGATAGCAGAATGTCAACATTCGTTGAAAAAGGTCGGTGTTTGAGCCATTAGTGATGTCTGTGCTATACAGGTTAGACAGCTGGGATAGAATGCCAACGTCTGTCCACTGAATGTATGTAGAAGACGCTATAAAAACACGTATGCAAGTATCGCAGATGTCAGCAGCACGTGGAATTTGAAATAGGTGAGACACGGGTGCAGAACAGAATCGGGCATGTTACATCAGAAGGGATTGGTGTGGCAACCACGGGTTGACCACCAGACCCAGTCACATGGTGGCATTTCGTAAGACTTTACTTTGGAAGTCAGATGTTGATTTTGCAACAGGAGGATCTAGCAGAAGAGATGGTAATGTATGGTATAAAATGCATGCGCCGTCATGTCCTTTTGACCGTGTGACCTGCAACGTTACTCTGCAACACTGTAGGTACTCCACTGAAATTATATTTACAAATTACATGAGCAACAGGGTGGCACAGGCCCTGGGTCAATGCACAAGCATGTGTGGGGTTTGTTGGTTCGCCCCCTGTTTGCATGTCCCTCTTCCCGTGGTCGCATGGATTTTTCTCCAGGGTCTCCGTTTGTTTTCCCTCCACATTTAGAAACATGCGTTTAGAGTATTGGGCTGCTTTAAATGTCCACATGATAAGCCATTTCGTTGAGCTATCATTTGTGGCCAGGTCACTTCTGAAAAAGATCTGTATAGCTCAGTGGGCCTTACCTGGTAAATAAAAAAAATAGTTTATAGATACATGGTCTAGTACGTATAGCAACATTGCCCCCTACTCCAAAATAACTTGGCAGGACCCTTCTGCAAATTAGTATTGGGACTCATTGGAGCTTTCCTGGGTAAACAAGCATAATAATAATATGAAGAAAAAACCAAAAAATTCCATTTAACGAACACGGCTTCCTATTTCAGCGATAACTTTTACAGTGTAATATGCTATTGTGGAATTTATTGCAGAAAGTTAAAGTATGCATAGCAGACAATCAACATGGGTTAATCAACCCAATAATTGTTGTAGAACGTGTGGCATTGAAGACAATCGGACAGATCTGGCATTACTGAGTTTGGCACTATGCCACGCATGCCAGGGGTGTCCTATTGTTTCAGGTAAAATGTAAAATTCACACATATACGAAACCATTACAGGTTGGTCATAAACCACTGTAGGGCAAGTTTAACGTCATGCAACAAATACAAAATTAGCTTTTTTAACGGAATGCTAGAAAGCATCTAAAGGTCATCTACATCGTTACACAGGTTGACAGAATTCACGCTGTAATAAACATCACCAAGATGCAGGCCTTTGTGTCATGGTTTGTTTGCAATTTGTGATAAATCATTACAGGGTTGTCTTTTTAAACCTCTATCGATGTGTGACATCTCTGTTTAAAACAATTTACATATGACCAAACATGAATATTGTGCAAAGGAATTAAAATGTTTGCATTGAACATAAACTACCATAACAATGTTTATTTTCTCTTTAAAACACAAGTTCCATGATCAAATAAGAAAATATATAAACAGCATACCAGGCACACAAAATCTATATATTTATTTTATATCACACTGTAACCATATTTATCGAACATCAGGATGCTATTAAGATTTAACTTAAAAAATTACATTATGGGATGTCATTTATAGTAAGTTACCAGTAATCCACCACATAGTCATTTGCACACGACTCTCCCTTTTGGGGATTCAATTTAAAAGCAAGGATCGCTCAAAAACTGATAATCAAAATACCAAAGCTCAAATAAGTACTCGGATGACATTCACCACTGTTAATAATCCTAAACCAATGAGGGAAATTCAACATTCCTACAGCACAGTCCAGTTTCTTCACACGAGAACCACTACCGCCTTCCCACAAGGTAATACTTATTTTAGCAACCCTGGAAGGATGATCTTCAAATTCCCACCGATAAGGATTTGAACTCACGGTCTTCCAAGAATAAGTTTAAATATTTGTCACCTTGCCAAATATAACAAAATTGAAGTTAGTTCATTTTTCATTGCCGAAACATCCATAGCTATGGCCTCAGCATAATGTACGTGCATATGGTGACAATTGTATTTATTGGACAAATGACAAGTACAGAACCAATTTTTGAAAAAAAAACATCACATCTGAATCGTGGTGGCCGAGGTGAGGGGATAGACTCCTGACACTGAAACATTGTAGTAAGGGCCCAACTACCTTTGCTCCTCGGACCTAGAGCAAAACAAAAAGGATAAACCCAGACATCGCTCTTACGTGTTACTTTGTTTCCTGTTTTGTTAGGTTACTATTATTCCCTCCCTCTCCCCTCTTCCTCCCCTTCTTCGTTAATCTGCTGCGCCCCATCGTGGTAGGGCAGTGAGCCCAAGTGCCTCCAGACGGCCCCCCATTTGAGGGTGTCCGTGCTACATGTGAAAAATGGTGCAAAATTGTTCGCTTGGAGTGAACAAACTTTTTTTTGTTATACAGGTTACAGGGTTATGAAATAGCCCAGCAGTGTTTTTTTTTGCGGAAGCTAACGGCTGGCATCCTGCAGGCCACCCTGGTTAATACGGGGTGTATTGCTAAAAGTGCATGAAACAAACATTTTTATGGCATCTGCTTCACAGTGAACGTTTACAAATCCTGGAAGGTAATTTTAAGAGGAATCCATCGTGTGCTGGCGTCGTGGTGCAGATTTTCCCAATTTCAAAATGTACCCACGAATTAATTGTGATTACACACAGCAACATAGCTCCCTACTAAACTACTGTAGACCAAGTATGTGAAACACAGTATCTTTGTGTTAGCCTCGTGCTATAATGGCACAAATGGCAAATGTAATTAATGATCTGGTGACTTGATTGGTTACTGGCTATGACGGAAAAATGGTTGATTGAAAAAAAAGCTTATTCACGCAAATGCTGTATTCAAATACAGCATTATAGCACTGCCTCTCATAGCGATATTTGTTTTGGAAGAATATTCCTGCCCGAATCATCCCATATATTGAAGTCGGCATGGCTTAACCTATAGGTGTCTTTGCCTACATATGGTCTTGTGGAACCTTAACCGAGGTTATTGTATTGATCCTGCTCATAGTCGATCTGAAAGCGACGTTAGTATCGATTCATCGAGGGTTAATCACTGCGTCGATTCATTGGCAATCCATGGATCGAATAATCCCATTAGTAAGTATAGCTTCCCGCGGAACGTGTTACGTAAGGTCCGACCGATTGCATTGAGTAAATAATATTGGATTTATGTCATTATACATTAAGTGATCATTTTTATTTATAAAATGCTTTCATACATTTATCATGTGTACAGTACCATTATTAAGGCTATTACTGATACCGCAAGGAAGCCCTCATATCGCTCAAAGGTAAAAAAAAATCACAGTCGGTAACGCATCTCCATTGGAACCATGTTATAGTGGTCTCCTACAGCGCTGTGTTGTATAGAACACATCCTGAGCCACTATAAAAGGTGTGCCTGTATACACACATTTGAAATGTATCCTTTTATGAATCTTCTGTCAGGGTTTTTATTTTTTTCAACTTAAAAATCATTAAAAAATGTATCTGTTAACTTGTGCCATTTTGACAAAAAAAATTATATTAGTGTTTTCTTGTTGCAGGGGTAGCAAGTCACATGAAAAAAAATATCCGTACAATGGAAATGAAAGCCTGAAAATCATTTGCAAAACGCTTCACATATAATCCAGGTTGGGTTTGGTTTCACAAACACACGAGTTGGGAATTGCGATTTATTTAAAAAGTTGTGTGTACGAGTCACACCTGTGGCACAGAGAACCGTAAAAAAGCACAGCGGTGCTTTAGCACGTCTCCACTTTATCTGAAATATCGTCATCCTTATCAGTTTTTTTTTCTTTTACAAGGATTATGGACTTTCCTACGACACCTTAAAGATGATGGCATTTGGATGAAAACAAATGTCTCAAATGGGTGGAACAGCAACATGTTGATGGATGATACTTACTGCTAAGCACTTTAGAAATGGCAGTGGAACTTTTTAAAAAGTGGCACAAACCTAAAACCGTATCTAGTATTTCCCCCCCCCCCCCACCCATCTTTATATGCAAAATCATCAACTTATTTGAGCAATTCTTATATTCATTATAAAATTTATATAATTCACATCCTGTATGTGCAAGTGCTATGAAATATAAAAAGTGCAACATTTCAATAGCAAACCCGATATTATGCATAAATTACACTGTACTAACAATATATAAATGCAGAGTGAGCATGAGTTACAAGATCCGTTTATAAACTGGGGCCAGTTCAAACACAATATACAACACTGCATGGCAAGGTAAGGGTTGTAGTGATATTATGTCATGAGCTATTCTGATACAAGTCACGATGGTCCAACTGATTTTTCCCGTTATCACAAGAATCAGTAGTTATGTAGTGCTTTCTATTGCATCACACCTACGACCAAATCACCCGGAATGTGCCCGATCCCACGATACCTAGGAAGTCAAGCAGGATTGAGCTTGGATAGTGCTTGGATGGGCCAACACCATGCAATACAGGTGTTACAGGCTGTGGGCGCTACATGGACAGCAAAGGCTATTACAGCAAAACATTGTTGTTTTTGTATGTTCCAATCACCAACCAGCACTCCCCAGAACGAAGTGTAGTCAAATAGCCCGTCGTGACCCACACGGGGGTCCGAAGGCCCTCATCCAGATGTGGATTGACAAGAGATTTACATGCACACAGGTACATGTGTAATACAATGTGCTTCAAAGATACCATGATACTTGGTGTGGAAATGTGTAATCACGTTAGCAATGTAACAGCAAAAAAACATGTTGTGGATGCACTCTTAAAGCATTTATTCACATTAACCAGCGACTATGCTGTATTAACAAACGTGGCATTGCTGCAGTAAATTCTCTCTAGACGTTGCATATACCAGAACAAACTCTGTAACAAACACATTTTAGAGCTGCAACAGATAAAGGACTAGTTATTGACCAAGAAAAACCAGAGTGCCATAAATAGAATAGGTATTTATTTATATATGTATAGTTGTACACGTATGCTTGTATAATATACGCCAATATATAAATACATGCATCTAGAGAATACGTTATACATGGACATATGTATAGACTAAATGCATAAGAAAAGCCTCATAACATGGCTCGAGAGCAGGTGATTGGCAAACACTGTTTTAAGATTTCCAGTTTCAGGTAATGCATGTAGAAATGTTAATGACCGGTGGTTTTACCTGATCCGACTTAACCAAAATATGACTAAGTTCATATAGATTTACAGGAGAATCAGTCTGGTAACCTCCTGGCATGGGATAATTAAATATTACAGATTACATTTCATTTCGCTGTTTCACCTGATACTGTAAAATCTGAGAAACAAATGTGTGGAACCTCCAACCAGAGCCATAAGTGCTTCACAAGTACATAGGCTTATTTTATGAATTCAGCTCATACATAGGCATGTTTGTTGGATTTACTTTCACCTAAATAATTTTGGCTATCCAGATAGGTGATGCTGTGGTTGAGAGCGCTCACCTTACAATCGAAAGACTGCAAATTAAAATTCCAACCGGTGGTTGACTCAGTTCATCATCCCTCTGTGGTCAATAAAATGAGTCCCCTTTGTGGGAAGTCAACATAATTCTTGCAATGGGAGAATGGTCCCCCGACCATTGGAATGTCATTTCCACTCGTGGTTCAGAGCAATGCCCCATTGTTGGTAAAGCAGTGAAATGCTTGATTTTTTTTAGTTCCTGATGTCAAAAACAGACGTTGATTGGTTGCAGCACTAAAATATGTATACAACCTGTGAACCCTGAATAAAATGAGTTGACAGGACTCCAATATGTAATACACAACACACATGAACACCAGACGACAAATGTGTGCCTAGATGAAAGTTCACATTTAAATTATGCTATGTTTTGGTTTGTTTTTACTAAAATACACTTATCCCTCTTAACACGGTTTATTTGGCTGAAGAACAATTATGAATTCACTGGGGAAAAACACAATAACTTACAATCTTCCTTTCACACACACACACATCCTGTATGATATCACAAAGCTTCAATGGCAACTGCAAGTTCCAAAGCAGACCTGCCACTCTGACACAAGCATGGTAGAATATAAACACTCAGTGATGGTCCCATTAAAGTATTTACTTCTTCTATAGCTACACACCAACTGGAGTGTCGGGTTGTGGAAGTGCTTGCTCTGAAATCACATGAGACCCATTTAAGTCTCCGTTGGCATCCTTAAAATCGTGTGGAGATGGAGAGTCTTCAGATTCTTCTTCTGCACGCTCTGCCGAGCACTGGACACTGTCCATTTCTGATGGAGCGGTAGCCGAAATTGAATTTTGACCTGAAAATGAAAGATACATAATAAGCGGATTTTAATTAATTGTTATTACATTTGACTTTTTACAGCAAAACCTTGTGAAGATTGTCACAAAATTGCTTTATTTTTAAAGCAGTTTTTGTTGTTACATTAGTGAAAATAAAACATTATGCAAAACGCTCGCTTACAATGCAAACAGATGTTTTGTTCTACATGATATGTCTACATAAGCCGGAGCCATTTTAAAATATTGTACATTTGTAAATTATTTAGAAGTTTGTGTAAAAAACAATGTTGCTGTTCGTATATGTTGATGTAAAGAAGCAAATCTTTCCGAATCCACACACCTTAGCGATTCTATTACAATTCATCCAGAATCTGACATCCCACATCGTTCAACATCCAAGTAGGAATGTGACATTCAGCAGGAATGTGACATTACTGCTTCCCAATTCAGTTTCAGCCACCGTGTTTAACCTCCTCTACGGTTAATTATCAAGCTCTTCGGTATTATATTCATGTCCCTGCCTGTCACACTCGTCTACTAAAAGCATGAGAACATGATGCATGGGCATCATATCCAACATACACTACATTTCAATATATCAATGCTATGTAACAATTTTTAACCATCTCAGTTGATGCAGATGGTTAAAAAAGCTAGCACATCATAATGCCTTCATGAATGTATTCTCTCATCCACTGGCAGAATATATTCTGCAATCTAATTTAAAAATAAATTCCTAGATCTGCTCAATCCTCTATCCACAAAATCAAAGGGTGTAATTATCCATGACCATCAAAGTGAATCTATCCATCTTGTTGAAGGTGTCTTACAAATCATATTCTAAGGTACAAATTCTCTACCATGTGTACCTTACCCACTTGACAAACGGTTCACAATACTCCATATCCTTGGGTCTAGTTGAAACTAGGTTCAATAACACAATATTTGTATCCTCCAATTTACCTGAGTGGACAGCACTGACCTGATTAATATCCAAACGTTTACAGCCTGACGAATTCGTTTGTTGCCAAAACAGCAGATGGACATAGATTTACCGCCCTCCAAATATTCTACATTCGGCGACTGTGGAGTAAAGTCAGAGATATTATTATCTCTATTGATGCAAAGCTAAGAGCATTGTATATGCAATGTCACATGACATGCATGCAAGGCATGATGGGAGTTGTGCTTTACTGCTGTTTGTGAGCACTCCTTTGTGTGTTTAATGTTTCCTGTCTGCACACATTTTCCTGTTTTAATGGATTTTCATCAAAGTGTTGGATTTGAATAATTGTTGCTTTTAAGCAAATGTTCACGGGAGTCACTAAAGTGTAGGTGTAAATCCTCTCCATACGTTGGGGCTACCAGAAGCAGTGAACAGTGATGACTGTTCTCTTCTGATGAGTCCTAATACATGTGGTGGTTACATGACATGGATGCAAAAGAATGATAGGAGCCATCCCTTCCCGTTATTTGTGAGCGTAACATTGTATTTTGTTAAAACTATTATCAGTCAGCCATTCGTATGGATTCCACATTCCTATGGCAAGTCACCGTTTATTAATACGAAATTCGCTGTTAACGTATCCTAAATCTTAAAGGGACAAACTGCTCGATCAAACCCCGACCGGGATTACGACAACGCTCACAACCTTCCGAATGCAAGTTGCACACTCTAACCGCATCATCATCTGTCAATCCAATAAATGCAACATGTTCGCATCACCATTTACCCTCTGGCGCAGTGGTGGCTGCGCGGAGATGCTGCTCAGCATCTGTCTGTGATGGGGATCGCTGCCTCTGGAGCCGCCTCAGGGATCGAATCGATGCCATCTCTTCCAGGTCCCTCACAACTGTCGTGCCTCCATGCTGCTGATGTTGTTGCTTGCTGTCCATCCTCCATGTTTGAGTCGCGTGCCTTAAACAAGAATGCAAGCCAAGCAGTAAAAAATACTAATTTAGGAAGATACTCCTGCCATATGAATACTGAGTTGCATCACTGAAACAAGGCCACCAGCTGACATGATCACCTATGCTGGAATTTACAGAGCTGCTTATAATTTTCTTAAATGTTTTTGGCAAATACAGGTTAAGTCTTCCGGTCCTGAGAGTGATGCATTATGACCAAAGTTCACTTTACAGTGCCTATGTTAAATAATGCATAACTTCATGCAACAGCGTTATAAGGAAATATAAAAATCAATTACTGCTGCAGAAAATTATTTCAAATTGCATTTACATTTTTCACAAATAGGCATTGATACTTTTATTAATGCCTAGAATTGCTGGATGGATAAATGTCAGAATGGGAATCACATAGCTGTTTGTCATTGACAATCATTGACATGAGTGGTCAAATGTTAAGATATTGATCATTGTAGGAAAAGCTGCAAGCTAGGCCTCAGACCCACAGTGAGGAAGCACATTCAACGTCTCAACTCAAGCACAAGCCATCTCAAGTAAGACAGTTTATTAATCATGTAAAGACATTGCTTGTTATTATCATAGCAAGCCTGAGTACACATCCAATATAACAAAACAATAATGCCATGTGTAGCTTTCTCAGATTCATAAATTATTAACAATCATTCATATAACAACCAAAATCAAACAACATCTACTAACCTTTCAAGGGACCCAAAGTTTGGCTGGCTCGTACGTTTGATCTGGGGAATACAATTTTAAACAAATTAATGCATCATTTAATAACGTTAGCATGGTTATACTAATGACAATCCTTTAATTTCTGTAGAAATAATTTTAGAATCTAATGTGCCACATGAAAAGTAAGCGATTCATTAATTTGAGATCAATTATAATAAAAGAAAATCAAAATATATACACGTAAAAATGAATAATGCATGCAATTTGTTATAACCTCTATATGTTACATTGGAAAATAAAACATAAGTTAAATGGAAACTCAAGTGTATACGGTATTTCACAAGGTTTGAGAGGGCTGCATTAGTTAACAAAACATTGCATTCATTTAGAGAAAATTATTCTAACAGCCATTTTAGACACTAACATTATTGTGTGGTTACAGTCTACAAGGCCTGCTTTTAAGCAGACATGAAATACCATAACTGGGCCAATTAATTTTAAATACGGGTTTGCATGCACTGCCTCTAAGTTATTTCATAACATTCAAATGAATGATGTTTTCAGTTGTGAAGATATACACCACACACACAGAGGCATATTTTTTGGGAAATATGATCCAGTGGTCTCAAGGCAGATTTTTTTTATCACAAAAAGCAAAACCCTCAGCACACAGTTATCCAAAGAACTTTGAAATAAATAATTAAACGAGAGCCCTTGCCTTCATTCCCAATTTCTGAAAAACATACAGGCCTTTGTCAATTCACTGCTGGCACAATACTTCCTCATGCTGTGTAGGTCATGAGGGTTGTTTGACCATACGTCATCACAGAGGTCAGTGTGGGTTAGTGATGAGGCCAACTTATTAATAATCGAGTTGTGTTCCAACTTAAGAGGCTTTTTAATGTATGACACTATTTTACAGGTGAGTTGAAGGAAGAACAAATACCAACGACCAAGGAATGTACAAAACAATCGATCTGCTCCCAAAAATATTTCAACAATCTGGCATAGCATCAGTGTGATCGGGTAGTTATGACTGCTTTGAAACATTGTAATCAAAAAACAGCAACCAATATCTTGACTTAAACTTTCGTGACTGCAGGAATACATATTCTATGGGTCTTTCGGTAAAGCCACGTAGATAGAAAAATAATAAAAATATCACGACGTTTCGATCGCAACACAAGCAATCGTCTTCAATTGCTGTTTGCTCTTAAATGTTTGTAACCTTAAAACTGAGCAAAAAATGAGCAACAGACAGTCTCGTCCCTTCACCTGATGAAGGCCGCTTGTGTTGTGGCCGAAACGTCGTGAGAATTTTATTGTGTTATTTTATTTTATTAATTTATTATTTTATTCTCATTCTACGTGACTTTACCGAAAGAACCAAAGAAGATGAATCCTTGCAGTCACGAAAGCTTTAAATCGAAAATCAACAAATGGCTTCTGTTTCAGGTTAAAAACGTCAAAATGCCAGTGTAATGACTGTTAGCCGAGCGGTGGCAGGGTGAGCTGATTACTCTAACCGTAGTGCCACCGGGTCAGATATAACATGGAAATGCAGCACTACATTCGTTTCCTAAAAAATGCATTGATCTATTTATTTGTACATAAACCCAGGAGGTGTTTCATGCTGACCCTTAGAAATTAGGTTCCTTGTCCTGGCGGATGGACCTACCCGATTGATATGGAAGGGAGCGGAGGCAGGAGAGACAGGGGACACAGGCGATGGTGGTGGAGAGAAGTGGAAGAGCTCTGGCTTGAAGCTGGAATTGGCGATGATCATGCACTCCTCCAGGGTCTTTAGGAAGGTGCCGCATGTGGCATCCAGCAGTGATGATGCCTCATTCATTTTCTAAAAACACAAACAGGCAATGTATGAGTGCTGCGGAGTAGAACGAGGAAAACTCATGTTACTTTTGCAAAGTGAGCAATGCACAGCTTAGAATGTGTTTTTGGATTAACTTTATCATTGAAAAAAACCCAATGTTAAAAAACACAAACACCTCCAATATAATTCAATATAGTTATATGGGGGTGGAAGGGAAGGATACAGCATTGTAGATATAACGAGAACGGTAATATAGATCTCCAGAGATGGTATAATGAGTGTTGCACTTCGGAGAACGCGGTAAACGGCTGCTATTGAAGCAGAGGGACTTTGTCTATGTTTATAGAGATGCAAGTGCATGAGAGTAATCACACTTGTTAATAACAATGAGAACGTATACAAGCCCAATTATATGAAACCGTAGAAAAGATGATCCGATTAACATTTACAGGTGTGCAGTCTTACTTCCATGTCAGGCCGTGTCCGACTCTCTCCTGGCTGGAGGGACTCCCGCACTGTGTTTATCTGCTGTTTTATCAGGTCACTGTAGAGTCGCAACTCTGACATTTTGGTTTTGAGGAAGTCGCTTGTCTCGCTAATCTCTGCACAAACAAAAATGAAAATTAACCCTCCAAATGAAACATTACCAGCAAAGTTTTACAGAGTTCCCCCCACATGCTGAAAATACTAGCTCTATATGTAGAGTATTTTTGTGATTTTAATTCAAAACCATCATCAGCCATTTGCTATCCACAAACCTGTCGAATTGTTGAAGGCTTCCCCACACTGTCACCATTTCTCACGGTCATGTGGCGCTGCAATCCAGCTCATTCCTGCACACTAACTGATCGCAACGCCCCATATCTCCGCCATTCCATCACTAGTCTCATCAATTGGTGATCATTAATTTTAGCGATATATTATGCCCATAAAATCAATATGTCAATATGAAGTGAATTATTTACATTTATCCATACTTCTTTGCACACTTTCCAGTTTTTGCTTAATTTTCTTTGTCATTGTGGATGCTTACAATCCCTATGTCACACTGGGAAATAAGCACTGACTGATAATTAATTCATCACGCACATAGACATATACTGCTTTTCATTAACAAATTTGGCTTTCCAAAACCTAAGGATGTTCATTTTCATCATTTTAAGACAGATAAACTATTAATAATTTTGCAGCTTGTATATATTCTGTTGTGTTTTTCAAATGTTGTCCTTAATTATTTGATTATGCTTGGCAAACTTGTATACAGTGAAACCTTGGATTGCGAGTAACTTGGTCTGAGAGTGTTTTGCAAGATGAGCAAATTTTTAAAAATAAATAATAACTTGATAAACGAGCGATGTCTTGCAATACGAGCAGTACGTACAGTATACGCTTTGTTTGCCGAGCGTCACGTGATCACAACTGAGCCAATGATTCTTCTCTCTCGCTGCGGGATTGTGGGTAATCATCTCCCATGCTCGGTCTCAGTCAGCGTGCCTCACTCGTATAGTCAACATCTGTGCGAGCGTATACTGTTTACTACAGTATAGTGTTGTGACCACGTGTGTGTGTGTGCATAAAGCATTTTTTTATTTTGTGTCCAAGTGTAGTGACTGTACTGCAAGTGAAAGTCGTCCTACACAATAAGCCTCCTCCCTACTCTCCTCTCTCTCGTCTCCCTCACAACAGCCACGAATAAATGTAATTCATAAATTTGATTACTTTATCCTAAATTTAAATAATAAAAATATAAAAAGGTATTTTGCATTAATCATTTTTATATGAATACAGTATTTTTGGGTTGTGGAACGAATCATCTGAGTTTCCATTATTTCTTATGGGGAAATTCGATTTGATATACGAGTGCTTTGGATTACGAGCACGTTTCCGGAACGAATTATGCTCGCAATCCAAGGTTTCACTGTATTACCTTTTTACTTTATATTTATTTTTAGCTCAATTTTTCAGGCTTCTATGCAACATTCATTGATTGCATGATATCAGCAAATTTGAGATGGCTATACTCTCTCCATGAATGTTTATGCATGTAGAATTTGTCAATTCTAGTTTTCTAAAAATATCTTCCAATGTTTGTTCAAAGTAACCGTGGTGAGTGTACCTCCTCGCTCGACTCCTCTTTTGAATTGTAATTTCTACTATCCTTATGCAATCTCAGCATAGCCGTTCTAGGTTCATGAAAAGTGCAAATACTTTCTACATATATTTTATTAAGGCCTTGTTTTTTTTTTATTCGGACTGAATTTGGTTGCATTGACTGAAATGCCACATCAGTCTACAAAAGCTAAGAAGAATGGTATTTTAATGGTATTTAACATTCATTTGTCTTCTTTGGGTCTTTCAGTTTGTTTTCTTCCTGATAACGACCGCTTGTGTTGTGATCGAAACGTCGTAGCTTTTTGTTCATTTTATTTTTATGAATTTGAACCTATCTACATGACTTTACCAAAAGACCAAAAGAATATGAATTCCTGCAGTCACGAATGCTTTAAATCAATAATTAATTTGTCTTTAAGAGGACCTGATTGGTCAGAGGCTAAAGGAACAGCAATTAATTATTGTGGTAACAAAATGTGAAAAGCTCTATGGCTATAAATGTCATGCATGAATTTAAACAATTTAAACAGCCCCATTGAAAGATTATAAACGTATATCATGTGCTCTACTTTTGATGGTAGTTAATATAATTAATCATTACATACGCTTGAAATAATGTTGCTACGCACCTCCGAATAGCATGGTTGGCTATGTATGGTACAAAATCAGAAAATTGCATGTAAAAATCGCAGTCAAGGGTTAGCTCAGTCCACCATCTCTTTGGGGTCAATGATGAACAGTAATCTCGAGGAATAAAACATCCATTATCTTGTGGAGAAACCAATATATGCCGAAAGAATGTCTAGTTTCCACAACTGCCTGACGAAAGGCAATGGAGATGACATCAGCCAAATGCTTATTTGAGAATGGGGACACAATTTGATTCAAATAATTGGTTCGTTTTAGCCATGTTTTCACATCTCATAGGCTCGGTCACATTCATTGTATTGGCTTAATGGTACCGTTTGCATATTACTTTAAATAATGTGTCTTTATGCAGTACTTGATGTATCATAAGCATAACAAGTGATTTTATTAAATGAGTCGATCAGTGTGTACATCCCAACCTTTCTCTTTCTTTGAGCGGCTGTCGTGCAGGCAGGCCTTGGAGCTGCCCAGGGCCACAAGCCAGGATTGCCGTTCAGCGGCGTTCATGGCGCGCAGATAAAAGTGCTGCTCCCCAGGGATGACGAGATCCAAACGCGTGCCATCTGATGAATGCACTGCCCGCAGACACAAGACACGATGCCACCGGTTCTACAATGCTCACTGCATTTGTGCTCTATATCCCATTCATGCCAATGTATTGAACACTATTCAGCATCCCAGAGCGTTGTGGGATGCTGTTGGCATGAATGACGCCATATAATAAAATTATAGTTTTATCATTGTTATATGATTTGGATCTGTAAAGTGTATAATATGGCCATATCCCCAGATGCTTAACAAAGATGGTAACATGTGCTTCATGCGGATATGGGTGATGGGAGGCTGTGATGAAGAAAATTCAGAGGAAGAAAAGTGCGAGTTAGACATATGCAGAGTACAGGAAACTCCTAAACGTGAACTTGAACATGGGGGAGATAGCAGAGACTATTTAAAACCAGGTTTATTGCTCTATGTTGGATTCTTAACAGTTCGGTTTCTCTCAAGGAATTATTTTTACTATTTGAATATGCAAGACATTCATATTAACACATATTGCAAGTTACAAACAAAAGTGAGCCTGATTATGTTTACGAATTGATCAATATCTTTTTTCAAAATCAGATTCTTTACCAATATTATCTTATTCCACTCCTTTCCCTTCAAAATTAATAAGACACGAAGTTAATTCTAAAATAATTAACTTCATAGGGTTTGTGCTTTTCAAAATTGTACATTACGCTTCACCCCATCCACCACGCCAACTATATGATGTTGATAATAACAGAACATGCCTAAGTGTGCTGTCCTAATTATGTTCCCATTACTGTGTTTCTTAGACTTCGGTGATGATAAAATGCATCACCTCGCCTTGAACTTGTGAAAAGCATGTGTCCATAAGATATTAGCAGTGTGTGAATCGTAACGGAGCACTCACCTTGTATCTCGCACACTGCCATTTTAATGCTGCCCTTGCAGCCCTTACTGACATCATCCTGGGAGTCGTAATACGAGAGAATACCGCCATCCAGAACAAACCACCGTGGCTGCCAACCTGTCAATAAAGCAATAACCATCAACAATACAAAAAAATCTCGCATCACTGCACCAACTTGAGTAATCCAAGTAAATCATTACTGTAACCAGCCCCTCAACACCCATTATCTACTATCTGTCATCAGTCATAGAACTCCTGATGGAAAATGCACCATTTACAGGGTATTAGAGGCTCGGTAGGATTCTTCCTTACAGGCTAATCCTAAATTTAACCTGCACATACACCCGCACAATACTATTGCTGCAGAGATAAATATTGATTTTGTAGTGATAAACATATTTGCTGCCAAAAAAATACAATGGATAATAACCCTATGGAAGACATCCCAAATAGTCTACAGCTCGTCATTATTTGTGATCACAGATTTGAGAACTAAATTAGACAATGAGAATAGGTTTTCCCCTTTTTTCTGGCAAAAAACAGGTGTTGAGATGTTAAAACACCAAACTGAAGCCTTTCACAAGGAATCATGTCTGCATTAACCAAAATACTTGTGGTCAGAATGCAAACCAAAAACACTCTTATAATATATGCATTGTCTTTGAAACTAAATTAGACAATGTAGTTTATGAAACAATACATATAAAAAGATTGACATTATACAATAGTAAATTGAACTCACATAAAAGCATTATAAACATAAAGACCCACACAAACAACATATTCTCATCACTGATTGACAACTCATCTATCTTTAGGAAATGTGTTATTTAGTTGGTCTCTTAAATTTCATGTGAACCTATAGGACGCATTTTACCTAGTTGTTTAAACTTGTCAAGAGTTACATTTTGGCGCAATGGGACCAAAAATATGGACGATAAAAAGATAATTTCACATTGGCCTGATATGCCAGTGGAGGAGGCTGGTGATAAACATTTCTATAATCCACGAGCCGTGGAGGGCAAGAAACGCGCCACTCAGGTTTAGGCTGATGGACCGGTTGGACGTTTTTTGCAATCAGCACTTTGCCAAAGATGGGTTTCCCTGAGCAAAGTGATACAACCTGTAGTCTGTCAAAATTCCAAGACAAGAATCGAAATATACTGTACCAGCTTTACTGGCAGATCACTGGGCCAGCCAATAGGTGGCATATCCATATTGCCATCATCACCATCATCTGTCATGGTCAGTCCACTGCTGGATGAAGCAATTCAAAAGTTGTCGCTATCTCAGAATCCGTGTCATGAGAATGACGATGCAGACACTGACACCTTGGTTGGACAATAGGTAAATGTGAATGCTGTGGATACTGTGAAATGTCTATGACACGATGCAACGTGTGACAATAATCACATGTTACTTGTAAATACAGTATATTATAGTTACTTGCACGTAAAGTAAACAAGACTACTGTTAGGTATTACTGACAAAAATGGATTGTATATGAAATGATACCAATAACCTTAAACTGCCCTTGGCATTGTTGAAAAATATGTTTCAAACATGAACACCACATGTTAAGAATCCTAACGTGCTTCGGAAACACTGCCCTTGTACTAACCTACCGATACAAAACATTGTATACCAAACGCAACTGCCATCATTTGCTTGAAGCAAAATTATTGTATACACAGCCTTTCCACTATATTGTCGGTAAACTACCATAAGCTGGCATTAAAATATTCAGAACTTGGGATTGCATCGTTTTGTGATCACCTACAACACACACGAAACGGCCCTGTCAAGCCAGACTGGACAGGGGTTACCTTAAGCCTCGACAAACCAAGCAGCCTATGGGCGAAATATAAACAGTGTCGTATAACTTTTCCTTAGTCTCACAATGCATGCTGCTGACAGGGAGCTTGCAGGCACCAACCATCACGTTCAATGCCAGGCTATTTTCACGTGTCAAAGTTCAACCCTCATATTCCTGTCCTGGCACACCCATTGTGTACGTAAAAGCCACCAGGACGCTCTGCTCACTTTAAACAATCCCCGATATAATAACGTAACTGGGACCGCCACTGCAGCATTACATTGAGAATGATTGCCAACGGCCGAACATGTCATTATAAAAGGTAAGGATTTCAATACGTTCATGCTTGGAGAGGGCTATTGCAACGCCACGCGCTGTAACCAACAAGCCACGCCGTCTTACTTAATATTAAAATAACGAATCTAACGTTGCGATTTATTCGCACCGAGCCGCGTTACGCTGCCTCCAAAGTGCTTTGACCATCTCGACCTTGAAGCTCTGTGGAATGTGGTCGTGTTCACTCGTGTTTTCATTCACGCATCTTCTCGCTCGTGATGGATCTGAAGAGGGCATGAATTGAATAGTGGCAACCCCTCGCGTGGTGTGCACACCGAAATGTCGCATTTCTCGAGGTCGCCATGGTACCACAAGGACCTCACGTCCTCGTTATCGATCGTCTATACGGACTTCACATCACAGCCGTCGAACCGCTCTTGGGGTGAGGTGAGGTGAACCCAGGACGTTGGTGACAGGGCTAGGAGCGAGGGAGTCGGGCTGAGGGGGTTATGTAGTGGGGGTGGAGCCTGATTCCCACCACCACCCAGCTCAAAATAATTCTCTCATCAAAACGTTATACCATAGGGCTCCATTGCATTTCGGACCCAACACCACCTGGCCAGTGAATTAAAACACGTACACCTGGCCCTCAAGAGAAACGGATACTCTGACCGTACCATCCGCCAAGCTGTTTCTCCCTCCATACAGAAACAACCACTTGATACTGTGGTGAAAACCATCACACTACCATATATAGCAAGCGTTACTAAAAGATCTCCAAAATTCTAAACAAACACAAGATCCTGGTCCGGTTCAATACAATACGCAAAATCCATGACCTGATCCCATCCGTGAAGGATGTCTCTGACCGAATTCGCGAGCACAAATCAGATTTGAAACACGGCAGAACGAATTCTTCTGCCGTGGCTGACCACTGTTACAACGCTGTGGGTGATCACGATATAGTGTTCTCCGATACCAAGGTCCTTTGCAAACCTATAGGTTATCATCAGAGATTTGTCCACGAGGCAATTCAGATTTACAAACACAAACACAATTTCAACCGAGAAGATGGTTTCAAATTAAGCAATCATTGGAAAGATGTTCTAAATCATACCAAACATTAAACTAATTTTCAATGGTACAGTATATTTATCCAAGTAGTGATATACCAAACTTTCACAGCAGCTTATTTCCCTTCAAAACAACGTTTGTAAACTCCCCTCCACCTTCGTGTTTGGTGCTCTATCAGCACTTTATGCTAATTTCTTTGTCAAAGCGTTTGGTTTCCTCCCACACAGCTTAAAGGACGCGACCTGGGCTTGACTTTCTTAATTCCTACGCTGTCCTCGTGACAGCACGGTCCCCCTTCACCTGATGAAGGCCACTTGTGTTGTGGCCGAAACGTCGTGATTTTTTGTTGTTTTATTTTTTTACCTACGTGACTTTACCGCATAGAACCAAAGAGTATGGATCCTTGCAGTCACGAAAGCTTCAAATCTAGAACAGAAGGGGATGAATGTTTGAGGATGAGGGGAGAGCGGGGTGACGTTTCAGAATGAAGAGGTGAGTGGCGGCGAGGATGGAATGATGGTGACGGGTGAGCGGTGGGGAGTGAGGAAAGGGGTGAGGAGGAGTGAGTCGGGTGAAGGGGGTGTGTGGTGAGCGGTGACTATCACGACCCGAGTTGAGCGGTGCTGATGCTGGATGAGGAAGCCAGAGGGGCTGAGAATGGGATGAGGCGAAACAAACAAGAAAATCAGCGTCCACTTTCCCCGGGCCACAACCGCATAAACGGCGTAACCGTTCCGACAGCGAGCGGGGCCAGACGATTCGCTCGTGTCGGGGGGCGCCGCTTAGCGTTCACGGAGCGCCGCCAGCTCGTCACCCAACAACCCCCGCCGCAGCCGCCGCTCGGCTCCGCTCGGCGCCGCTCACCGCTCAGGTAGTTTGTCCATTTGTAGAGAGAGCCCTCCATCACCAGGCCGCGTCTCGCCGGCGTGACGTCACCGACGCCCCGCCCCCCCTTCCCTCCTGCGCGGTCACGTGCGCGCCACTGGAACGCGGACGTCATCGCGCGTGCGCGCGCGCGCGAGAAAGAGAGAACTACAGGTGGCGTGTGACGTAATCGCGGGCGTGATGGAAAAAAAAACGTACTCGTACCTACGTGACTTTACCGAATAGAACCAAAGAGTATGGATCCTTGCAGTCACGAAAGCTTCAAATCTAGAAAAAAAAAACTTGACTCTCGTGACGTCATCGCACGCGTAAGAAAAATCCGTGTATCTCGTGACGTCGTACGCGTGAGAAAAATGCGGTATCTCGTGACGTCATCGCGCGCGTGAGAAAACTTGTCTCGCGTGAGAAACCCATTTGGTGTGACGTCATCGGGTTCGCTTGAGAACCCGGTGGCGTCATCGGGCGGGCGTGAAAAAACCCGGCGGCGTGACGTCATCGCGCGCGTGAGAAAAACCGGTGCCGCGTGACGTCATCGCGCGCGTGAGGAAAGAAACGTCTCGTGACGTCGACGGACGCGCGCGTGAGAGAAACCGGCGGCGTGACGTCATCGGGCGCGTGTGAAAAACTCGCGACGTGACGTCAAATCGCTTCTGAAAAATATATGTACAGTATAACTCGGTGGGCTTTATCTGGTAAAAGAAAAAAGTTTAGTTGATTTCTTTTTAGTGATTTTTGCTTACTCTTCCCATATGTTGCACTCGTATCGTTGTTGTGTTTTGTCTGTTGTGTAACTTTCTGATCCGCACCTACTGGATGTTTGTTAAAAAGAGCTTCTTAGCTCATCGGATTTCGCCAGGATAAATACGGATGCGCATTATAATTGCGGACGCGCGTGAGAAACCAGTGACGTGACTTCACATTCATCAAAGACCCTTGCGGGTCGTGCGGGTTTATTTGACCAAACTTCAAAATCAGAATCTGTATTTATACTGGAGAAACCCGATGAGCTGTTTAAACAGACGGTCCGTCCAGTAGGGGCAGGTCAGAAAATTACAACAACAAACAATACAAAAACACGATGCGAGTGTAAATTATAGCAAAGGTAAACGAAGCACTTTTAAAATACATATGTAATGAGTGGCTCCGACGCGATAAGAACTTGAATCGTTTTATCTATAAATCTTTGGTACAGTTGGTTGTCTCTGGTCTCTTCTCACTCGCACGACGGGTGCAAGCCGCTGGCTGGAGGCCGTGCCGCCACGTGGCACGTGGAGCTGGCGGGGCAGCAGCGACGGGGAAGCTCCTCTTGATTCTTCACACACCGACCACGCGCCTCATACATAAATACAAACCGATATACTCTTCCCCGGCGACTAAAACCCCGTCTCTGGCCACGATGTAATCCTTCACCTAGATAGCCCGTAACTGCATAGCACGTAACACCCCACATAATACAGGAGATGGCGCTCTCATTTCACATACAAATACAACAAATACATTTTTTACCAGTAAATCCCATGCATTAGCTAACAAACCAGCCTCTCCAGGCTTAACTGAACTCCCAACTATATTCTTGGTTACATTTCGATTTAAAGCTTTCGTGACTGCAAGGATTCATCTTCTTTGGTTCTTTCGGTAAAGTCACGTAGAATGAGAATAAAATAATAAATTGATAAAATAAAATAATAATATTCTCACGGCGTTTCGGCCACAACACAAGCGGCCTTCATCAGGTGAAGGGACGAGACTGTCTGGAGGACAGCGCTGGAGTGAAAAAGCCACGCTCAGATCGTGACCTTTAGAATCAGAAAGGGTTTTATTCGCCATGAAAGTTCACACCGACACGGAATTTACTTTGGCAGGATGGTACATACATTCAACATATAGGAATCTAAAATCTTAAATAAGTTTTAAACAAGTCTTACTCTAATAATAAGGGTTAAAAGTCTAACTAACACCAAGGGGCTGAAGTATATAAAATTGAATAAATATCGAATATAAAATAGCTTTAAGATATAACATAGTTAATATCGGCAAGGTGTCATTATGTAGATAAAATGTTAAAATCAGTGTAAGCCCTTGGCCTTGTTTAACAGGCCAGCAGTAGATGGGAAGAAACTGTTTTTATGGCGTGAGGTTTTGGTCCTGATGGACCGAAGCCTTCTGCCGGAGGGGAGTAGCTGAAACAGAGGGTGTCCAGGGTGGGAGGAATCGGCCACAATCTTCCTCGCTCGCCTCATGGTCTTTGTCGTGTGCAGGTCCTCGAGGGTTGGTAGATTGCCGGCAATTACCTTCTCAGCAGTGTGGATGATACGCTGCAGTCTGCTCTTGTCCTTGGCAGTGGCAGCAGCGTACCAGACGGTCATGGAGGAGGTGAGGATGGATTCAATGATCGCTGTATAGAATTGCACCATCATTGTCTTTGGCATGTTGAATTTCTTCAACTGCCGTAGAAAGTACATCCTCTGTTGAGCTCTCTTGGTGAGGGAGCTGATGTTCAGTTCCCACTTGAGGTCCCGGGAGATAATAGTGCCCAGGTAGCGGAAGGACTCTACAATTTTGACTGGGGAGTCTAACAGGGTGATGGGGGTGAGTGGGGCTGTATTCTTCCTGAAGTCCACAACCATCTCAACTGTCTTTAGAGCATTTAGCTCTAAGTTGTTCTGGCTACACCAGGTCACCAGGTTGTCAGCTTCCCACCTATAGTCAGACTCATCCCCACCAGAGATCAGCCCAATGAGGGTGGTGTCGTCCGTCAAGAGTTTGACGGACAGATGATTGGAGGTGCAGCTGTTGGTATACAGGGAGAAGAGCAGTGGGGAAAGGACGCAGCCCTGAGGAGTTCCGGTGCTAATGGACCTGGAGTCAGAGACTTGTGTTCCCAGCTTAACGCACTGCTTCCTGTCAGACAGGAAGTCTGTGATCCACCTGCAGGTGGAGTAGGGCACGTTCAGCTGGAAGAGCTTGTCCTGAAGCAGGGCAGGGATGATGGTGTTGAAGGCAGAGCTGAAGTCCACAAACAGGATCCTGGCGTAGGATGCTGGGGCGTCTAGATGCTGTAGGGTGTAGTGGAGGGCCATGTTAACTGCATCGTCCACAGACCTGTTGGCTCTGTAGGCAAACTGAAGGGGGTCCAGGAGAGGGTCTGTGATGGCTTTGAGGTGTGCCAGGACCAGGCGCTCAAAAGACTTCATTACCACAGATGTAAGGGCGACCGGTCTGTATTCATTTAGTCCTGTTGGCCTTAGCTTTTTGGGCACAGGGATGATGGTGGAGGACTTGAGACAGGCTGGTACATGGCATGTCTCCAGGGAGGTGTTAAAGATGTTGGTGAACACCGGAGACAGCTGGTCAGCGCAGTGCCTGAGGGTGGCTGGAGAGACAGAGTCCGGCCCGGCTGCTTTGCGTGGATTCTGCCTCTTGAAAGTCTATTAACTTCTCCCTCCTGAAAAGAGAGAGTCGTCTCTGTAGTATGGGTGGGGGATGGGGCCTCTTGGGTGGGAAGGGGTGGTTCAGGACAGTCCAATTGTCTTTCAAATCTACAGTAGAACTCGTTCAGGTCGTTGGCTAGGCGGGAGTCGTTAGTGGTGTGGGGGGCTCTGGGTTTGTAGTTGGTGATCTGCCTGAGCCCTCTCCAGACAGAAGCAGCATCGTTAGTAGAGAACTGGTGTTTTAGTCTCTCTGAGTACAGTCGTTTAGCCTCTCTCACCGCTTTGCTAAACCTGTTCTTCGACTCCTTGAATCTGTCTCTATCCCCACTCCTAAACGCTTCCTCCTTCTCCAACCTCAACCTTCTGAGCTTTGCTGAGAACCAGGGCTTGTTGTTGTTAAAGTTCACCCTGGTACGTGTTGGGATACAGCAGTCCTCACAGAAGCTGATGTAGGACGTCACAGCCTCTGTGAGTTCATCCAGACTATTGGTAGCAGTCGTGAACATATCCCAGTCAGTACAGTCTAAGCACGCCCGCAAATCTTCCACAGCCTCACTGGTCCACTGTTTAGATGTCCTCACAGCAGGTTTGCAGAGTTTTAGTTTCTGCCTGTATGCAGGAATCAGGTGGATCATTGCATGGTCAGAGTGTCCTAGTGCTGCTCGGGGGACGGCGTGGTAGGCTCTACTGACTGTAGTGTAGCAGTGATCCAGAGTGTTCCCTTCTCTGGTTGGGCATTTAATGAATTGTATGTATTTGGGGAGTTCGTGGCTGAGATTACCTTTGTTAAAGTCGCCAAGTACGATAACCAACGAATCTGGATTTGCTCGCTCCACACTCAGAATCTGATCGGCGAGCATGCATTGGGCTTCTTTAACCTGAGGACAAGGCGGCAAATAAACTCCGACCAAAATGAGCGACGCGAACTCGCGAGGCGAGTAAAACGGTTTACAGGTTATAAAAATTGATTCAAGGAGTGGAGAACAATGTTGCAGAATCACTGTGACATCTACACACCAGCCACTGTTAATGTAAAAACAAATACCACCGCCTTTCGTCTTGCCGGAGAGTGCTATGTCACGATCCGATCTTACAAGATGGAATCCTGCTAGTTGTAGCGAAGTGTCCGGAATCAAATCACACAGCCATGTCTCCGTGAAGCACAAAACAGAAGATGAAAGAAAGTCTTTGTTTTTTACCATCAGTAGCTGAAGTTCATCCATTTTGTTGTACAGTGAACGTACGTTGGAGAGGAAAAAGCTCGGAAGCACTGTTTGGATCCCGCGTCTGCGTAGTCGTACTAGAGCCCCCGACCGTTTACCCCTTGGGCGGCGTTTCACTGCTTGAGCAAAGCCTAGCGCGGCATTGACTAGAATGCCTACTAATTCTGCCGCTGGAAGCAGAAAAGTAGGAATTAAATCCACAGGAGTTGATTCCCTGATATATAAATGTTCGTCTCTTGTTAGAGAACTCCGAAAATCTTGGCAAAACACTGATTTGACAGACAAAACAAGACAAAACAGGGCGCACCGACCAGCTGGGGCTACCATCATCGGCGCCATCTTTGCACCAGCACGGGTGTGCAGAACAGCAGGACTCTCTCACCAGCACTGGTGTGATGAACAGTAGGCCCCTCTCACCAGCACGGGTGTGA